TGCTAGCTCAGAGCAGAAGGTCCATCCTGGCCAGAAAGCCCTACCACCACTTCAGGATTGGAGCCTGTAGATCAGAGAGGGACAAAAATGTGATGGGAAGGATCCTCAGGACACCATCCAGAGCTGTGTGTGGGGTTGCTGCTGCTCTGGGGAGTTACCACAGCACCAGAGCCAAGAGCCACGAGTTCACTCCATGCTCTGTACTGGGCTGGAGTGTGGCTTGATCCTGTGAGTTTCCTCAAAAAACCTTCTCAGCTATCCAGCCCAGCCCAGCTCTGTCACCCTACCCTCCTCCTGAAGAGCAAATGAAAGGACTTTGGATCTTGTTGCACCAGAGCAAAAGGATTTACAGCCCTTCCAGCTCTTCTGGGCTGACGGTGCACATCTGCATGCCATAGCAGGGCCGGGAAATGCAGCAAGATCTTCTCTGATGTAATTGTTTATGGCAATTTAGACCATTGGAGTGTCTGGCTGAAAGCTTTCTAAGTCCTGACATGGCTCGAATGACACTGCAGATAGGATTTCAGGTTAAAATTGAAGTGGAAAGAACTTGACTCCCAGTTTTGCTGAACAATGAGGGAATTTCTCGTTTCAGAGCATGTTGTGTTTCAGTACTTCCAGGCTCTCAAATTGCTTTCCTGGAACTGTAAACCCCTTGCTATCAGATGTCTGCCATGTATGGCAACCAGCACACTGTAGAAACCACAGTGCAGAGCCACAGAGTGCAGCTGGAAACCCATCTCTTCCCTCCACCAACTGGCCTGGGCCTTCCTCAGCCACCCCTGGATCTGTCATCCTTCCAGGGAACGGCTGAAATGTCCCATTTTCTGTCACTGCAGAGGAGAAGCAGCAGAGGGAAGCACTTGTTGCTCTCAGGGCCCACTTGCCTGTGCCCAGGTTGTTGGTGGCACACCAGTGACTTCAGCCTCTGGCTTCCACCATCCTCTGATGCAATGAGCAGCTCTGATGGGCAGTCAGGTCCTTTGTGAATGCAGGTTACTCTCCAGGGATGTCCTCTGGGTGTTTCAGGCTCTGTGGCACTATTCCCTCACAGCCTTACAGATGAGCAGATAAAGGATCTTTTTATTTTGGCAAACCACACCATGACACCTGCTAATGGATGCCTTGCCAGAGTTCACCAGGCTGTTGTACTTTCCAGTGTCCCCACACACTGAGGAGAATATCCTTGTTCTGCCTTGCCCATACAAAAAGTCTGGATTTCCAGCCAGTCTCTGAATGCAGATGCCCAAACAGTCCCTGGTGCTCTGCAAGGGGAAGGGATTTTCAGCCTTTTGCTGTTCAAACCAGAGGGAAAATGGCCATGCTCAGAGGAGAGTCCAGGTCAAGTGAAGGCAATACATTTGTGTTAGAAGACAGAAACCTCTGGGAGGAGATAATATGTGGGTGAGCAGCTCAGGAAAGGTGCACAGCTCTGGAAATTCCAGCTGGATCTTGCACTGATGCTTTGATTTCTCTCTCATGGCCAGGGGGACAACTGGCCCATCCCTCCACTGAGCAGGAACTGGGGCTGAATGGAGCAGTGTGAACTTGGACAAAGTGACCAAAAGATAGAGGATACTCATTTATCTCAGCTCCAGCTGCCTCGAGCCCTGCCAGCCACAGCTGTGAAGCTCATGGACCATCTCAGCTGCCAGGTTTGTTTGCAGAAATCCACTGGCGTTGAAACACGTACAAACTACCCCTGGAGACTTGACTGGGGCCTCCCTGCTGCTTTCTGTTTGAGATTCAAAACCACAGTGGAAACTGGTTTTCAGATATGTTAATGTTGGAAATGGCTGAGCCAAGTTAAAGCTAAAGATCTCTGAAAAAACGTTTCCTGTGCACAGAGGGAAGTTTGGTTGTGCTCAGGCAGGCATGTGCTATCAGCATCAGGAAGATGCTCTGGAAAATGAAGCCCTGCTCAGGAAAGCCAGATGTGCCTCTGCTGACTCCATTGGTCGCCAGGCGAGTGTCTCTCTTCTGCAGGACCCAAAAGGGTGGCACAGACCCTCTGTGCTTCCTCCAGCTTTCAAAGTTGCTCTGGGGTACATCCCTTCATCTGCCGTCTCCAGGGAGCTCCAGGACTGAAGATCCTCTGTTCTCCTGCCATCCTTCATGCTGGCCTGTTGCCATGTTAGGTGTGAGCTGGTCGTGCCAAATTCCCCAGCTCCTGTACCTGCTCTGCCAGCACCAGCCTCTGCTCCAGGCCAGGATATACAAAACGGGCTGAAAATGTACCAGCAATGAAGTCAGATCATTTCAGAGCAATCTGGCACCTCATTTCCTACATCTGTCACAAGGACACTTGATAGTGAAGTGTCACATTCCTGTAGACGTAAGCAAAATAAAGATTAAGACTAAACATTTCCTTGGCACTAAGGACAAACCTTCAAGACGTGGTGTGGCTGCAGAACCTTGTGATGAGAAAGGGTTTTCCAGATGTTGTTGCTGTCCATGGAGGGCATGTCCCTGTGGGTCCCCCTTCTGGAGTAACACAGGGACAAGCCAAGGTTTAGGAGAACTTTGTTTGTGTCCACAATTGCAGATGGGCATCAGCTTCCTCAAACTAACACCAACCTCTTCCAGAAGCAGAAGATGAGCTTCACACCCCCAAATAGAGCTCAGTTTGTTGGCACAGATAACTGCACAGATCCTTGTGTGTGCATCTCCCCTGCGAAGGGCACAGAAGCATCAACATCTTCCCTGTCCCCTTTGTAGCTGAGCAGGATTTCCCAACAAATACTGGAGCTGAGGAAAAGCCCAGGGAAACATCAGTGGATCCATGCAGGAATGTGGTGAAGCACAGATGCAAGCACTTGGGGGTGTGAGGAGAGGCCAAATGGAGGTGCAATAGCTAAAGATGAGGTCCTTAAAACCATCTAAACTGATTATTGGACAGCAGAACACTGTCACATCAGAAGTATTAAAACCATTCACAACAGGCTGGTGTGGAATCCCTCAGTATCTGCAGCACCCAAACCCAACATGCTCCCTCTCCCTGCAATCCAAGCGCCTCCAACACCTTCCCCAAAGAATTTCCATGCCACCACACAAATCCTGGACAGGAGTTTGTCACCTTGACATCTGCCCTTGGGTGAACAACCTTCACGACTTCCCCATGACAAGACTTTTTTGTTATCTTAGTCCAGTAGCCTTAAAGACTTCTGTCTTTAACAGAACCGTGCAGTTTGTGGTGGGCTGTGCCTGTGGTGGCTTTTGCAGCACTCCAGAGGGTGGCTTGGCTGGATATTCCAGCTTCTAACCTTCAGCTGGAAATGAAGGGCTTGCAGTTATCTCTAGCAGTTTGTACCTCTGAGCTGAAAACCTTGACAGAAATCTAAGGAAGATCCCACTGATATTTGTACTTTCCACTGGAATGTAGAATGTAATTCTCAGTAATGGGAGAAGGAAAATGCTTCTGTCAGAGGACTTCCATATTTAAATGACCTCAGTGAGCACAGGAACAGCAGCCTGTGTATTAGGTAACAGTGTCTGGCAGGGGAGGTAGCACTATCTGGAGCCTATGCAGGTCTGAAAGTCTGCCTGAGTTTAAGCATAAGGAAATACAAAGAAGTATATTAGAATAGTAAATGGAAATATAGCACTCTGCAGTAAAAAAAAAAAAAAAAAAACAACAAAAAAAAAAACCAACTGAAAGGGAGTGATTATGAGCAGGAATCTTGGCTCTATTGACTCTTTTTTTTTTTTTTAAATAAAACAGAAAACAGCATCATGTTCCCAGGGACATGCTGGCAAACAGCAGGGACAGAGTCTGAGAGAATCTGTATTTTATACTTTATAACTTAATATGGCTTTTGCATGATTTTAGTATTTTTATTGGTTCTTAAAACATACACAATATAAACACATGAACCAGCCAGAAGTACAGCACATGGAGGGCGACTGTCCAGCTGTGCCAGCCTGCAGCTGGGAAGGAGCTGGGGTGTTGGGGACCACCCTTGCCTGTGGTATGATCCCAGTCCTGAAAGGGCTCCCTGTTGGGTGCACGGCCTGTGGCCAAGGGTGGCCTTATTTGGGGCAGGACTACAGGCTTATTCTGCACATTTATGGTGCTGCACTACAGTATGAAGCCAATGTTTCCACTTTCTAGTCGAGTCAGTGCTCTAATCCCAACCTCAGCCCAAAAATAACATAAATCCAACTCTTTTGCTGCTTCCATCCCCTCACACCCTTTTCCCTGCCCTCCTTTTAGCCAGCCACAACACCACCAAAAGGAAAATCAGTGTTTCACCATGGAGCGTCCACCCAGAGCTCGGCGGTACCTGCTGGCCCTGCTGCTTCCCACCTTCCATAACTCTGATCCAAGACAGCAATCACAATGAATAAACCATGTCATCAACCTGATAAACTCCACATTTCAAGCAGGAAGGCCTGACTTGCAGAGCAGCCCACTGGGGCAGAGCTTTCTTCCACCTGACACCACCCTCCTTCCTCTCATCTCAGGGCCAGAATCAACCTTTTTCTTTCTACAGCACCAAGATCAGATCTCCATGTGAACCAGACATGCCCAGGATATTCACTGAGGATTCAGGAGTCATATCCTGCTGATTTCTTCTAGTTGTTTTCTATATTTTATGGGGAAATCTGAGAAGGGAAGACCTGAAGCAAGCAAGTAACCATCAGAGAAGGCACAAGGTGGCCAATTCCAAGCTCCAGGCCCAAGCCAGCCGTGGCAACCAGGGAAAAACCAGCTCCTCTCTGGGCCTCCCCCTCTGACACTGTGTGGGCTCCATCTTACAGGTGTGTGGGAGGGAGGCACCCTTTCTCAAAGCCTGTGGCAGATCACATTCACACTCTCAATTCTCTAGCTGACAGACCAAAACATCTCCTGGACACAGATTTTCATGAAAACAACACACTTTACCGTAGTTTTTACAAGTTATGTCTCAGGTGACCTCCTGCCCTAAAGCAGTGTCCTGGTTCACAAAGTCATCCCTACAGGAACCCAGGGGTCACCAAGGGCTGGTTCACAGACTCACTCGGACACCTGGGATGCCGGGATATCCAGGAGGTCCTTCTTTTCCCTTCAGTCCTTCACTGCCTTTTTCTCCTTTCTCTCCTTCTGGGCCTTGCTCTCCTTTGTCTCCCTGTGGAAGAGAGGAGGGTGGGAGGTTTTCATACCCACACAACACATGGGTCACAGTGCAAAGCTCTTGCAAGGGAAAACACCACCACATAATTAATATTTCAGGAGTCTGAGAGGAAGAGAGCCTGCAAGCAAAAGGATGAATGAGGATGAGTCATAAATACGCTTGACATTTAAAAAAAGGAGCAAACCCAGGTTTCTTTTCCTTAAAATCTCTTGGCTGAAGGAGAAATAACTCCCCCATTTCACAGAGTAACCTGAACCCCTTTGCTTCTCCTGAAATAAGGCCTGAACCTCCCACGTGAATGAGGCAGGCAGACAAGATTTGAAAGTCTCCCTTGCGTCATCCAGAAGCTCTGAGTTTGGGATGCTGAAAGACTTTTAATAGGATGGGTTTGTCTGGAGCAGCTGCTGGCTCCTGCTGCCAAACAGAAATCAGCCCAGGGCTCCAATAAACACTCTGTGAAACTGTGTCACTGTGCCCTGTAAAGGATCTATGGCCTGAGCAGTGGGTATCCTGTCAAATCACTGCTCTGACAATTACAGAATCATACAATCAAAGAATCATTTGGGTTGGAAAAGATGTTTAAGATGAATGAATCCAAATTTCAACCCAGCACTGACAAGCCCACCACTAAACCATGTCCCCCAAGTGCCACTCCTAGGGATAGTGACTCCAGCATGTCCTGTTCTAATGCCTGGCCACCTTTTCAGTGAAGAAATTTTTCCCAATACCCACTTAAAGTTCCTCTGGTGAAGCCAGTCATTGAATATCATGAAAAAGTCTGTCAGATAATAAAATTTCAATGTTTGGCAAGATCAACCACCTGGAACGCAGACCAGAAATACAATCATGGAAGTGTAAGAAATAAACTTATAGCTGCTTTTCTTTTAACAAGATAAACAAAATATTGTAAATATTTTGTATTATTCAGTACCACCACTCAAAATTATATGGAGACAATGATAAAGGACAGTTTTATGCTGAGAGCAACATGTGCAGCCAAGCAGCCTTGAGCTGAACCATTTTCCTCTTGCACCTGTGTTGGGAGAGCTCAACAAGATCTCATCTGGATAAGAGCACAGACACATCTGGTTAAGTGTCCAGAGACACATTTGGGGTGGAAAGAGCTGGTTTCATTCAAGAGCTCCTGGGCACAGCCAGCAGTGCAAGAGAATACAGAAGCCTTGATTGTCCTTAAGGAAGAGATTTTTGGTCCAACAGTCAGAGATAAGCAGAAGTAGAGACACATGGCAAATAGCTTAACTAGAAGAAGCAATAAACTGCATTGTTGTGGGATAGGCTGCTCTTTCTTTCCATGGAACAAAATTGTTGGCCTGTTTGGAAAGGCTGGCTGTGCAGGGACAGGAATCAGAGCCCTGTTCCAAAGGCAAGGTAGCAAACTCACTGCAGTGAGACACAGAGTGAACCCTGAGTGAGATCCTGGGGCTTTGCCAAGGGAAGGGAATCTGGTTTCTTTACTCTCTAACATTGTTCTGGTCAGTGGTGCAGGGGAGAGTGATGGACAATTCTTGATTTCCCTTGCCAGGCCCAGGAATTCCTGATTAACTGGAAATTTGATCTGTAAAGACTCAAAACAGACAAATCGTTGGAAACCAGATTTTGAAGAACTTGACCTTTTTGGAGATCTGATCAGATGCCAAAAAACGTGGGTAGAGGAGTGAAACAGGAGGGGTTTGTTAAGTGTGCTTGCAGTCCTTAGAGATTGCAGGGCAGAGGTTTATTCCACAGAGGACCCAATAATCCCCTTGGCCTCATCCTGGCTCTGGGAATCACAGGGACCTGGGTGCACAGAGCTGTGGGTGAGAGCTGCAGCTCCATGGCAGTGAGGTTTACCTTGATCCCATCTGGCCCGAGCTGCCCGCTGTCCCCTTCCAGCCCGGGTTCTCCCTGTGGACAGAAGCAAACACCATAAGGCTGTGCCTAAATGTGTTTTCCCCTGAGCTTCCTGCAGCTGGCTCACAGCAGCAGCCAGGCTGCAGTGATGGGAGCCCAGCCCTGCACTCTGACACGTGTCTTATCTCATACCCTAACGCTGAACAAACTCTTCCTGGAGCAAGAGAAGGAATTCAGCCTCTCACTCTATTCTGAGCCGCAGCTTCTCCTCCCTGGACCTGCTGCTGAGGAGCTCTGAGTCCACTGAACCTGGAGCTTCCTCCTCCTGCTCCATCCTCCTGACCTCAGTCCTGGGAAGGGACACAGCCCCTGCCAGCCTCAATCCACGCATTCATCCCCCCTCCCACGCCTACACAGTGTATCCAGTGTTTCCCTGCTTAAAGCTGCCTTCTGCTCCAGTGTGCCTGGCCCTGCACGGACACAGCCGCCAGCAAACAGGAGGAGTCTGTTCCCACACTGCCCCTCTCACACTCGGCGTCACAGCGGCATCTGAGAGCCCCAGGCTGCTGAGCTGGGCTGATGGGCTCTGTGGGGAACCTGCAGAAGGAACAGGGGCTGGGAGGGTCATGGGATGCAGAGAACAGGGTCAGCCCTTGCAGGCTGTGGGAGAGCAAGGACAGCACCTCTGGGGAACTGATGAGGCACAGAAGCCCCACCAGGAGATGGCCATACTCACCCTTGGGCCAACGAGACCTTGCTCTCCAGGGATTCCTAACAGGCCAGGATCACCCTAAAAAGAAGGAAGCACATATGGGGAGACAAGCTGTTTACTGACAGTGAGGGAGCATCAAGTACTTCCCATCCCACTCCTAATTTTGACTATTTCTTTCTTTCTCCCACACAAACACCTTCAGCTGTGCTTTCAAAGGCCCAGCAGAGAAGGACACATCTCACAGGCTCTATTGCAATGATGCTTGGCAGGACGAGGGTCACAGAGGGGTCTGAGCTGCCTGAAGCTGCAGATCCAGAAGGAATTCTCTGGCATGGTCCTTCATAGACAAGCAGCAGGGCAGGTACAATGTGGTGTGGTGGCAGAGTGAGGGAGGATAAAAGCCCCAACAGCTCTTTTAGCCCCAGTTCCAGAAGGACCTGAATCTTTGACAGCAGTTAGATGAGTGAACAGAAGGCAGTGGAGCTGGCAAACAAATGGAGCTTGCCAATGTGGCAGTGGGGCAGCTCTCTGCCACCCTGCCCACCCAACGATCTGCTTTGCATGGAAGAGAGCTCAGAAAATGCAGAAGATTCAAGGGAAAAAGGTTTGAGTCATCCATAAACCTCATCCCACAGCAAACTGCTCTTGGTCCAACTCCTTCCAGCATGGAGAAGGAGCAGGACGGGACTCTGACTCCAAAACTTCCCAGCAAGGCCAGCAGGTAAAGGGGTGTCTGTGCAAATCATCATGTCCTGCTCCAAGGAGGGCCAGCTGGGAGCACTGGAGCTGAAACACTCATGCAGTATCAGGATGCCAGAGACAGGGTAGCTCCAGTGAAGTGTCAGAAGATTTGCCAAGGAAAACATGGCAGAGGATGGGGTGGGGGGTGGGAGTGAAGAGCAGCACAGAGGAAATGGCATTTAATCCCCACATAGAGTTTGTTCAAAAGCTCTGTTCACAGGAGCAAATCTTCAGACCAAGGGGGTTAGGATTAAATAAAGCCCCCTCTGAGCTGCTCAGCACTGGGATTTTACTCAGACAAAGAGATGGCTTTCATGTGGACAAGAAGGTGCATTCATGGTCTGGAGCAGGGCAACCTTCCCCCTTAACCATCAGAGGATTTCAGTCCCCAGAGAGCTGAGGCTTGGAAACTGTGTCAGGACCTTGTCTGAGGGTATTTTTAAGTCTGAGACCTTCCAAAGACTCTTCTGGTTTCAAATTAGAAGCTGCCTGGATCTCTGAGTCTCAAGGACTCCTCTCTCCATTGAGATTTGGATCTGCAAAGAGTTGAGCTTCATTTCCAAGGTCCTTCACAGCTCTTGAGGCACCAGATCCCTGGGATGTGGCCTCTCCCTCAGGATGGGGCTCAGGAATTTGTAAAAATGGCTAAAATTTATCCAGTTTTAGATTTTTTAAACTTCATCTTTTATTGAATGCACTATAAGCTCTGGCTGCTGGAGGGTAAACCTGCAATGCCACTCAGCCCTTCAGGAACACAAGCTGCCATTTATCTCCCCAGTCTGACAGAGAAATTACACTTGGGGTTTTTCTTACCTTCATGCCAGGTTCACCTGCAAGACCAGGTTGTCCCATTGAGCCTGGCGGTCCCTGGGAAAAAAACCCCAACAAGATAGTGAAAAAACCCATTGTAGCGGAGCAGAAAGCAAGATCAAAGACATAACTCCTTTAGCAGAGCTCTCCTGGGACAGCCAAGCCCTGGTTGCAATGCAATTACCTCCCTGGAGCTGGCTCAGGGTCCACAGCATCAAAGAGGCCCCTCGTGCCTGGATGTTGGGAGGGCTCTGATCAACTCTCACACCTCCCCTCTCCCCAGCCTCTTCTGCCAAGCACCTTTCTCTGCCTCCTTCCACTCCCTCTGCTTTCTAAGGTTAGTAACCCCACCAGGGAGCAGCACTGGAACCAGCTGGGATAGAAGGGAAAAGGTCCAGAATTAGACTTGGAAGCTCTTTGTGAGGGTCCAGCAGGCTGGGCTGGTACAGTGGGTAACAGAAAGGTTTGGCTGTGCTCTTTTTCCCTGCAGCCCCACTTCTCCATTTCCACTGGTGTGAGCACATCCTCTGCACCAACAGGCTCCTTCTGATGAGGGTCAAGCTGCCCCACAGGCCACATCTTCCAGCTGAGCCATTGCCCCCCATTCACAGAGAGGCAGGGGCACGATGGTGCTGCCAGCTAAAGGGAGAGGTGAGGGCAGCAAGGTGACACTCCAGCACAAATTTTGGCCAGATGAGCATGGATATCCATCAGCCAGCTGTCTCTGGCTGTACAGGGCCAGCAAATATCCAAAGGCCAATGCCTGGGCTCAGATCAGAATCCACAGCCTGGGCTGGACTGGCTGAGAGAAAGTTTCTCACTCTCGTGTGAGCACAGACTCTGGTAGAGGAGTTTGGCATCCCCCAAAGAGCCAAAAGTGAGTGTTTGACCTGGGAAAAGATAGGAATTAAGATAAAAAGATGGAAGATGTGAGAATGACCTTGCAAACTGTTCTCACTCAGTCCAGCTCCATGTGCAGCCCCTGATAGTGGGGTCACAGTCATTCACTATCTTTAGTACCAAGATCTGTTGGGAGCTTTAATCTTTGTACATTTGGTCCTACCTCTGGGAAGTGTGGGGAATGAGAGTCTGTAAAACAACCCCAAAGATGGGACAGTAAAGCTTCTCTTTAAAGGATTTGAGTGGTTTATTTACTTATGATATTTGCATTCCAGACAACAATCTCCCTTCTCTTTACAGTTGGGAATAAAGGAAAAAAGAGCACACAGTCAAGGGAGCTACCCAGGGAATAAAGCCAGTTCCTGGCTTGCTGAACTGGATTCAAGCAGAGGAGGGAGCAGGGTGTGTGTTGGGTTTGTGAACAAATGGTCATGTCACGCAATGAGAAAATTCAAGCTCCAATGAAAGCAAAAATCCTGCTTTGGTTTCTCCAGAGGTGCCAGTGCAGAGAAAGGCTCCTGGAGGAGTTACAGATTTGAATGAAGGTCTGTACTTTCTTGGTTGGCAGCATCCAGAGTGGCTCAGTAGCTGCTTTCCAGCTCCCTAGTGTGGTTTACCATGCTGAGAGCTCGCTCCATCCATTCCAGCAGCCATGAGAATGGAAACTTTCATGACTCACACACTTTGCATAGACTGCATTCAAAGCCACCTTCATGTCTGTGTTACAGCTCAGGACCTGCAGAAAGGAGCTGTGCAAGGGGCACTGGCACACGTGATAGAAGGAGCCAAGACTATATTATTTTAAGAGGACTGAAATGAAGCCAAAAGTGCAGAGGAGTTGGGGGAAACCATGGAGGCATCCCCTGCACTCCACTGGGGCACAGTTTGGCAGCTGCTGCTGGGTTTTGGTGTGTTTGTGTCACTGCTTCATGGCAACCACAGCCCAGCAGCACCGTCAGCAGCAAAGGCGTCTCTGAGCTTCCTGCAGTGGCTGCAGCAGCCTCTGCCTTGCCATGGCCATCTGGGTGGGCTGGCAAACCTGTGGTGTGTCAGCAACAGCACCAGGGAGAGGGAAAGACTGGTACTCAGTCTGATTTGTGCTTGTATTGGCTCCCTGACTCTGCACCCTGGTGCAAAAAGTTGGTCCCTGCCGTGGTCACCCTTGAAATATATCTTCTGTTGAGAAGATGGGTCTGCACTTCCACCAGCTGGGTGTCTGTGGCCTGTGATGAAAAGGGTGCTTGAATTTCTGATTTTTACTGTTTGTTTTGGAAGCTGGCTTTCAGATTTAAGGGGAATCCTTCCTGCTCGTTCCACACTGCAAGGTGTGTGGAGGGATGTTCCCACATGTTTACTCCTCCCTCAGTCCTGCCACTCCTGATGGAAGGGGAAAACAAACAGGAACAAAGGTCAGACCTACCTTATGCCCCATTTCTCCCAAAGGCCCAGGTGGCCCCTGTGGTCCTTGGGGACCCTGCAAAATAGAGACACAAGGCTCTTTTCATACAGCTGCTTTCATCTCTGAGGGGCCATCACTTCCATGGTCTGTAGGATAAAACACCAGTTCCCTCCCACATCTCAGAGGAGTTCTCACTGTGCAAGATCTGGCTAGTGGGATGGAGAGACCAGCAGTGGGTGTGCAGAGTTACCTTAGCAGGCAAAGGGCTCAGAAGACCCATCATTTTCCTGGGTCCCATCTAAAACAGCTGCAGTGGGTAATCTGAAAGTGTCTGGTTTACTCTCTCCCTTCACAGTCCAGCACTGCTGGCCCTCCTTGAGGTCTGTGTCTTTCCCCAGTGACTCCCCCAAAGCTGTGGGCTCAGTTCTGACACCATCAGCCTCCCTCCTGCTCCCCCTTCCACTCTACTACCTACACTCCAGCTCTTCTGCTACATCTGACCCTGTCCCAGACCCAGCCTTGCCCTTCTTTTCTACCTTCCCTTCCAAAACCCACCCCAGGCTGTATCCTACACTCTCCCTGGTAGATCCATGACTCCCTTTTGCTTTCCAGGGGTCTGACCTTGTCTTTCCTTATGGCTCCTAGGACTCTAGCCAAGTCTTTCACATCTCTGACCACGCTGGAGTTGGCAAGGACAGAGAAGCTGGGAATGGGATAAGTGGTGGGGAAGAGACAGAGAAAGAAATGAAGTGACTGTGTGCAAGGAAAGACAGATGGAGAGAGAGTGGTAAGAGACTTGCCGGGTCTCCTGGAGCCCCTTTTGCTCCTGGAGGTCCAGAAGGTCCTTGGATACCCTAGAAAAATTAAAAACACCAGGGTCAGCTTCAACCCAGCAGCAATCCTTCACATCTCTTGGCAGAAATGTGCACCTCAAAAATGCTCCAGTGAAAGGAGGGGAGAGTTGGCTCTGTAGGTGTGAGATGTGGTCCAGATTCTTCCTCCTGGACCAGGACTCAAAACTTAAGGACTTGAGGTTATGAAATTAAATGGAAGGGATGGACACTTACTGGGAAGCCACGTGCTCCAGTCTCCCCAGTCTCCCCCATCTTGCCCTGTGAAGACACAGTTACAGCAGTTATCAGCTGGGGATGTGCTGACACACCTGTGGTGCTTTGTCCTGGAGGGCTCTGAGGACATGTGGGTGTCCCCAGGACTGGCAGCTCTGGCTCTCACAGAGGACATACCTGCAGCCCATCTGGGCCCACCCTGCCTGGCTCCCCTGGTTGGCCCTGCAAAACAAAGAGACAAAGACACGTCAGCAGGAGCACAAGCTGTTGGTGATGCTCTTCTGCCCCAGCCCATCTGCTCTTGCATTTTTGTGCCTCAAATTTCCCTTCCAGCTCCCTGCAGCTTTTGAGAGGCCAAATGCCTGGGATTGTGCACCAAGGAACACCCCAACCAGCTGGGAGTGTGGGCAAGGGCCCTGATACCAGTGCTGGGTAGATTTTACTCTGGTTGCAAGACAAACTCATCCCTGCTGGTTGATCTTCGTGGAGCAATTGAACATCCCCGTTCCTGGATGTGACCTTGATCCTGCCCAGAGCATTTCACAACACATCTGAGAGCAGCCTTGGCACTCACCTTGACACCTCGCGACCCTGGCTCGCCTACGGGTCCATCAGGCCCTCTGGCACCCTAGAGGGAGGCAAAAGAGCAGCAAAAATAAGAACACAGAGGATATGGCTCACTGGAAAAATCCAGCTGTCACTTCAGCCTTGGCCACCAGGACAGTCCATGAGATCAATCCTGGCTAAGCCAACTTGTACCTGCTCGTGTTGAGCACAGCAGCTCAGAGCCCAGGACTAAAAAGATTCTTTCTCTGTTTTGTTGCTTCATTTCTCACCGTTACCAGCACACAGCGCTTTTTATTCCTGTTAAACCAACTACCAAGCACTCACCCAAGCCAGAGGAGAAAAGCAGGCCAGGAACAGCCTAATTTTCTGACAATAGTTTTGCAATGCACAGACAAACTTGCAGCTCCAACCTTATTGACAACAAACATTTTCCTTCCTAGAAACCTTACTTGTCCAACACCTTTGTCCTTAACCCTTGCCACACCCCACTGTCACATGGCTACAGTGGTGGCATAGAGGTGCACAACCCCCAATGTACAGGACTTTCACACTGTCTTGAGCCCCAAACTCCTCCCAGAGAGAAAGGTGTATTTACTGGCAGCTGAACTCCAAGGCCTCAGCTACAGCTACGTGATATTTGAAGATCTGGCTGCTGTTCAGGCAGGTGCTTGTGGAAGTGGAGGTGGGGAGGGTCTGGTGCCATGGCCAGCATCTGCTCCTGGGTGTGTGAGTGGGCAGTGGGCACAGGGACCTCGGGAGGCGTGTGGGACACACATCCTGCTGCAAATGAGCATGTGTGAGTAGCTAAAATTAAACAGCTCATGGTCCAGCTTGGGCATCACTGAGGAACGGGCACCCTCGTTCTTTTAGAGGGTTCCAAGTGAGGGCTCCTAGGAAAATGGTAAGGATATGATCAGAGAATCACAGAAAAAATGGTTTGGGTTGAAAGGGACTTTAAAGACCATCTGTATTTCAAGCTTATTTCACGAAAGCTGAACACACAACCCTCTTCACCATTTGACCCCCAGAGACCAGTGCATCACACTGACAGAGAATAAAGAACCACAGTGAAAGAAAATAAGAGTTAAAAAAGGCCATATGAAGAGACTCTGTTAACAGATGCCATGTTTGCAATCAGTTCATGAGCTCAGTTAGGACTCTTAGGCACTACTGCAATATAAATAATAAATAAAAACACAGAGCAGTGCTAGATTGTAGTGCTAAGAGGAATTCTGAGAGCTGGCCAATGCAGAAAGGGAAAACAGGAGCCAATGTGCTTAATCGGGATGCAAACCCAGTGCCAAAAGTAATAACGGGGCTGGGGAGCCAGTGTGTTAGAAAAGCAACTCCAGGATGACAGGCAAAGAGAGACACTCACAAAGAAAAGCAGTGTACAGCAGAAATGTATAGGAACTCCAGCCAAATTATTACAGCAGACAAACACTGTCAATATAAAATAATGCAAAAACTCCTACTGAGCTTGGCAAAGCCCTGTGCTGCTCAGAGGAGCAGGGAGTGAATAACCAAGAGCCTGTATCGCACTGCCAGTATGGCACAGCTCTGCAGAGTGCTCAGCCTGGCCTCCAGGACAGACAGACAGACAGACAGACAGACAGAGGGCTGTGCCCCAGATGGGATCCCCACAACCAAAGGGGTGTTGCACAGCTGGGCTGTGCTGCACAAATGTCACAGCACCTCTCACCAGCCCCACATCCCAAGTGCTGTGGCTCATGCTGGCCCCTAGATCAGAAAGACCAAAAGCTTTATTAAGCCATGTCCCTATAAACCTCAAAGCACAATGACAAAGACCAGAAGGTCACTTAAAAGCAGGGCTACTGACAGCTCGAGTCAGACAGCCCTGTTACTTGGGGTGGTGGGAAAGCAGGGCCTGGAGGCATCTTGGAGGCTGCCTGGGGTGACTGGGACATGCAGCAAATACCCAGACCTGCATTGAGAAGGGAGGAATGGGAGGCATGGGAATGATGCTGGGAAAACATCCTCAACAACCTAATGCTCATCCTCCCTGGAAAACAAACTGTTCTCCTTTCCTTTGAGCAGCCACTTGGATATTTTGTGCAACTACATCTTTGCTATCTGAGGTGATGTGGTGACCTGCTAGTGAAGCAGGGGAAGGATGTGCAGAGGGCAAGAATTCCTTTAGCTCAGGCTTGGAAGAAGGAACAGGGATCAGAAATAAGTGGGACATGGAAATTACAGTGATGATCTGGGTTGGGAAGTTGGGCAGGAAACTGGAATGAGCCCCTCCAGACCCATCTTCTGTAGCCTGTCCTGCCCTGTCCAGCCCCTTTGCCAGTGCAGGGGCTGCTCTGAGCCAGGTGGAGGCTGTCAGGTGCTCAGTGATGACTGTGGCTCCCACCAGGCTGGCTGGGGAAGTGTTTACAGCATCCTCACCTCTTCCAGCACAGCCCTGTCACCAGCATGGCAGGATGTGCCAGGGCAATCTCACTTCACAGCAGTCACCTGCCTAATCCCATCACAACACATCTCATCTGCATCTGACCTGAAGAAGGAGAAAGTGACTCTCTATCCTCAAATGTGTGTGGCAAGCTTCATCTTCTCCAGCCTCCTGGGCTGAAACCTGGGCTAAAGGCTTCCCCTAATCCACCCTGACAGGAAAAGCTACATGTATTCAATTAGTTAAATTTTTAAATCTCTCTTTTACTGACAACACTGGTTAGAGATGAGTGAGTGAGGTCCTGGCAGCTTTCCAGGGAGTGTCCCAAAGCCAGGAGCCTCAAGGCTCCTCCAGGTGCCTTCCCCCTGCAGGCTTGGCAGCCTGGCCTTGCCAGCAGGGCTGAGCACAACCCCTGGGCTCCCCCTGGACCCTCAGTACCCTTTGGTCAGTGGAGGCCAGGCCAGCATTTCCCAGTGCTGAACACCAAGCAGCGCTATCAGATACCCCAGACTAAACACGGGGTGACGATGGTGCCTGGATGTGAACGGCTCACAAAGGCAGGGGAACTCAGCTCCAGGCTTTGCCATGGCAGGTGAGGCAATGGGGATATATCCTGCTGCTAAAGTGGACAATATTCCTGCAGAACTGTGTGCTCAACAGGGTGTTTCTGCAGAGCAGAGCTGCATTCTCTCCTGTTAAACACCTACTCAGAGCTCAGAGACAGTGCCCAGCCTCTGAACTGCGGCATGAAGGAGCACTCAGTAGCTCCTCTCCAGAAACCCAAGGCTCCTTCCTTACCCAGTTATCCAAATATTGATATTTTCCTATCACAGTCTGGCCAAACAACAAAGCAAGCAGATGCCTTGAGTGAAGCCAAAGGGAGACATCCCTGGCCATGGATCTGGAACGAGCTTTTCCTCAAACACTTCTAAGGCTTTCTCAGTCAACTAGAAAGATCCCTGGAAGCAAAACAATACCCTCCACTTCTCCATGAACAACAACTCAGCTGGGCTTGGAAAGGCAAATATTTTCAGGTTTGTTTAGATAACACCACTTTACAAATCCCTGGCATTTACAAATTCCTGGAGTTGGTGATGCTGGAAATCATCAGGTCCACGTGGCAGAGGCAGCAATTCTTTCCCTCTGGCACGGAGCAGCAAAGGGCCTGGAGTGCAGGTGTGCTCTCCTTATCTTGGATTTACAGGCTTCACCTGGGCAGAAGCTGATGCAGGAACTGGATGAATGAATGGCAGAGTGGAAAAGAGAAATGTGCTTGGGGATTTGAAAAGCTCCTCTGTATCACCTGAGCCAAAACCCAGCAGAGAGAGGATAAAATTATAGAAATAATGACAAGCACCTTGGCCAGGAGAATAGGGCAAGGTAAGGCACTTTACAGCAGGATTTCAACTTTATAATGTGAGTTACAAAATCATGGCTCTGGTTGATATTCAGCCTTTCATAGAGATTCCCAGTCTTTTTGAAGACATTATCCTTACCACACATCCTCCTGCTGTGAGGAGCTGATTAACAGAAATGTGCTTTAGGATTTAAGTGACATAGGGTGAGGGGCTTGCTGGACCAACTGCCTCCAAATTTAAACCTTGATTTGGTTCAATAATTAGGTTTAAGCATGTACATTGCTGTTGCTAGCTGGATGTTAAGCACATATCCAGTAAGTGCTACGCTGAGTACAGATGAAGGGAAATGAGCCTGGGCTCACATGTCCAGGTTTCTTCTCCTTGGGGAAGAGGAGAAAGGAAATAACATTTGAGGAAGATTGCTCAGCATCAGTTTGGTGGAATAAACAAAGACTTGTGAAGGAGCAACAGCTCTGTCAGGACTAAAAAGAAGGCTACAATTTTTTAAAAGTTTTTCTTTTTAAAATATATATATCTTGACAATATAAAACCTATCACAACATAAATGCAGACCCCAAAAAGTCTCCATTGTTCTTTACAATCAAAACCATATTTGCTACTTACGTTTCCTTCAAAAGCAGAGTAACTTTAATGAAGCATCTACAAACAGAGCTCATAGAATCCACAAACATCTGGCAGGGGCTGCATTCATGTTTCCACTCTGAACTGAATTACATCCCTTCTGCAAGCTAGGATTGACAGAGGGTAATGTCTGAAATTACAATTGGGGGATCATTTCCCCATCCTGAGTGAAGCAAGAGCCGGAATCACAGGAGCAAGTAAGCAAACATAGGATACTATGTGCCTGGAATATCTTCTAAGAGTATGAAGAGAAGGAAAATGTGAATGAGAGAGATTCAAAACAGAAATCCTCCAGGCAGGAGACCCGCTGGTTCTTACAATACTGACTCCTCTACATCATATCCACTGAAATCTGTAGAATTTCACAGCAAAGCCCAGGTTCCTCCTTCCTGCTGGGGATCTCAGAGAGCACATCCCTCTGCCTCACAAATTCTGTATGGATTATATCACTGCAGTGCTCAAACAACACCAGCTCTCCACCACAGCACAGAGCTGAGAGCAGGAGCACCAGCAGCAGATCCAGAGGCTCAGTTCTTGCTGGTAGAGCTTTAGGCAGAGTTTTACCCCGCTCCAATACCGCTGCAGGAGAAGCAGAATGTGGGAGTAGGTAAAATGTATAGTTTACTCCAGTGTATGTCCTTGAAAATGAAACATGGAAACAGATCCTTGGAGGGAGAAATGCAAAATATGTTGTTGTTGGGGCCTTCAGCAGAACTCATGTATGCTTGCTATTAATACTTTGTAAAGCAGCTGGACAAGGAAAAACAATCCAAGCAGGAATGCTCCTGCAGTAAATATCCCGTTGGAGAAGAAAGATTGAAGAGCTCAGTGGGACGGGGGCTGGATGTCACAGGCAGGAAAACAAGCAGCTTTGGCAGGTCTAGAGGTCAGTGTCCTGTCGGCTGTCACCCAAACAGGCTGGGGAGAGCCACACAAGAACTGACTCTGAGTGTCTGTGAGCTCTTTGTTGGGGGAAATGGAAACTGATAGCACTGCCAGTGGGGCCAGGCAGGGTGAGGAGTCACCTGTTCTTACAGGGTGGCTCTGTTGAGGTATGTACACATAAAATCAGGGCTGGAAAAATCCTTAGAAAGGCAAAGGACATGGTTATAATATGATCTACTGACAATGCAAAGCACACTTTCCTCACATGCCTGTGGAGCCCTGCTGGGAGATGTCAATCCTGTGGGACTGAGGGGAACACATGGGTAGAACAGCCCAGCTCCATTTCTGTCAGCCTGGTCTCTTAATTCTATGTCATGACATACCCTTTCCTCCTTCATCTGCCTCTGGTTATATCACAACACTTCATATCTCAGCTATTTTTTCTCCCATAGCAATGAAGGCACCTTTTCTGGTTTTCTACCTGCACCCTTCCCCACAGCCCATCTATACCTTCAGGCAGTTAAATCTTCATCAATCTCACCAGAAGCATCCATAAACTGTGTTTTGACATGGCAGCTAGTTGGAAAAGGCAGGCTGGACCACTTCCATGATAACCTGTACTCTGGACACCCCCCTGCCCTCACACATCCTTTGCAGTCACTTCCCTGCTAGGATTTGTTTCAAGGACCACACAGCCTTTATGTGCAGCAGAAACGTGGGGGTGCTGCCCAACTTCTGCTCATCTTCACACCCCCAGACTAGACCTCCAGATTGTTTTTCCAGTGTCTGGAAGAGGAGAGGGATGAAAGCTCATGGAGAGCACTTACCCTGCGGCCTTTCATCCCTCGGACCCCTGGCGCACCACGGGCTCCTGCCGGACCCTGCAAGGGGAAAAAGGAAACAAAATGAGGAAGGCAGAAGTTTTGGTAAGACCCTAAATTCCTGTGTGATCTGCAGAGGCCTCAGATGCAGACCCTTGACCAGCAGATTGATTCATTAAACACTTGCTAAAAACATCACCATTTTTACTTGCCTATAAATGTTTTTGTTTTTTTTTTTAAAGTCATGGATTGTCTTTGGATTGTGAACATTTAGGCCAAAGATCCTGGCTGAGGTTTGTATGCTTAATGACCTGCAGCCTGTTATCTGTGTCAGTGGTGTGATGTGAAGAGAAACTTCTCTTCACATCACAGAATCCTCTGAATCTATTAAAAGCAGCTGTTGCTCAGCATCTGTTCAAAAATAATAATAACCGGGATCTGGTTTTTAGATGTCCAAATACAAAATCAGACACCTCATCTTTGGTATCCAAGTTTGATCTTTTCAGCTAAATACTGTCTTAAAATAACTGTTGCCCTGTTAATGCTGCATAAATATTGATACTGGCAGACAGATATTAATTTAATGTGAACTGTTGGTGTTGTGGATGATCCTGTTCTTAAAATTATAGAAAGACTTCAGGTTTTCTTTTAATCTGGATTTGTACACACATGATTCATTAATGTGCATACAGAAAATGCAGAAAACCAGGTTTTTTTCCCTGCTAAAATATTTATCAGAGTAGAAAAAAAAGGATGTATTTATTTAACATGATGTAGTTCTGTATCACAGCTTTTAAACCTGATATTTAAAGTTAGTGCCTTTCTGCTGTCAGAAGAGAAAACCTCAAAATGACACATTCACTCCTTGCTCTCTCAAACATCCCACATCAGATTTGGCTGTTTACATATTAATGGCTTTTACCAACTGTCAGCCCTGCAAACTCCACCATGGATCAGAGGAGAATTGGACTGTGATCTTCCTACTGCTCCTACAGCTGCCATTTATGAAGATTTTGCTTTTGTGCATGGCATGTAAGTTCAGGATACAAATGCTGAGCTGTTCTCAGTATGGAAAAGTCAGCTGACTTTAACTGCATTTGTGATCACAGCACATCTCAGTTTTGGAAGTGAGGATAGCAAAGACTGGCAGAGGCAGTGGATGTGTTAGATGCCTGTTTTATAGAGATTTTGATGATAACCATGGACTGAAGTCCTTAGTTGGTATTTGGAATCTCCTCTGGAAGTCTCACCCTGTCCCAGATAGTTTACGGAAATACAAGGACAGAAACATTCATGATGGCAAATGTTGAGGGAACAGCTAGATACCCTGCTGGAATTTCAATGAACTGTTCAGGAGAAGATACATGGCCTTTAATATTCCTATATATACACTTTATTTTCAAAACTGTATATTGACAGAAAAGATGCAGCATAATGGTAAGAAGAGGAAAAAGGAATTCACATGCCTCGGAAAGCTGAAACCAAGGGCAAAGTTTCCTACCATTGACTTTGCTTCCCATTTCCAGTCATCCTTTGTTGAATTAATCAGCCATCACTGCTAAGGCTCATTCAAAGATTTTAACAGTTTAGGACAAACAACAATTGCATGCCTCAGGTCTGGCTTGAAAGGCAAATAAGGAATGTTTGGTGGAAAAACAGCTGGAGTTAATGAGTGGGGATTTGATATTAGGAGATTATTTGATTTACTGGCTCTGTGGGGAAGTTTGGCTTATTGAATTACGACTTTTTAAAATGCAGTTGTGGAGCAAACATTTTGCTTGGACGAATTTGTTATTTGCCTGCAGGAGAAGAGGGAACTGAAGGAAGTGGAAGGACCCAGGGACCGCCTCAGCTCCCAGAGCCTTGCTGAGAGGTTTTGGTATCTCCACCTGGATCTGATGCCTCAGCTCATGCTATTGTTATGGCCCAGTGAAGACAGACAAAATTTGGCTTCAGTTGAAGGTACATTTAGTGGTGCAGGGATGGTGCTCAGGGCTGGAGCTCTCTGTCACAGAAACTGCCTCAGCCATGGGTGCTCACAGGCCCGGAGCAGGAGGGAGCCCACTGCTCCAGCTGTCCTCAACTCAGGGAGCAGCTAACATGATGGGAAGGTGCTAAAAATTCATCTACAGATATCCAGCTGCCCCCCTTGGCTTCTGTCAACAGCAAGTGCTGCCATGAGGGGTCACAGAGCAGCTCAGGGCTGGGGGCTGCGGGTGGCATCATGCTGCTTTTACTGTAAGGACCTGGCTGGTGCCACATTGCTGCTCTCCAGGCAGAGATGGGTCACCATGACTGCTGCTTCACCTCAGATTTTCTCTTTTTTTCACCTCCACTCACTTGATACTGCACAGTCTGTGCCCAGGCAGCAGCTGCCTGCAGCCAGAGCACCCAGAGCATCCTCGAGCTCCTGGCAGTGGCAGAGTCGACCCTGGTTTGGAGGCCACACCTTTGGCACTTCCCAGGCATTTCACTGCTGTGCTCTTCCTCCCAGTTACCAGCACTGTGGGAATTCACACACCGAGCAAAATCCATTCCCTGCACCCACCCAGGGCTGCCTTTTTGTTGGCTCCAGCAACACTTGTGCTGCTGGGAGAGCCCGAACTACATCTAAAGAACATCTGTGGGAAACTGCAGCCAGGCTAAAATCTGCCTCCATGGCAATTGCATGCTCCAGCCACAGCTGCAGTGTGCCAGATGAGCCTGTCCAGATGGAGGGACTGTCTGGGGGAGCTGCTCCTCTCATGCCAGCAGGGCTCTGACCACACAGGACAGTCACACTGCATGATGTGGTCACTGTGATAAAAGTGATAAATGACGGTGATGCATCACTGTGGTGTGATCACCACACTGCCAACCATTCCCAGCCCACAACACCTTGAACTAGGGAGCTTGTGTCCTGCTAAAAGATTGAGGCTGGATGGTGACTTCTGCATCCCTCCTTAGGGAAATGGGCTACAGCTTTTTGAATTAAGCACTGTTCTTTTCCTGTGTCTCTTTCCATGTTGCTCCCACCCATGTCCCATCCCTTTCCCCATATCTCTTGTTCATATCAAACTCAAATAAACTGGAATACATTTGCTTGACTTAGCCCATGAATGCCCAGGGTGTGGTATTACAAGGTGATGATAGCCTTTACTTACTGTTGGTCCAGGGATCCCAGGAAAACCCACTCCTCCTGGCATCCCAGGGTGCCCCTAAAAGGGAAGGAAGAAGAACATGCCTGCTGTGAATATCCACAGTCTGCACAGACCTTCTTCCTCCAAGTGGGAAGACAGGGAAAATGACATTGTTGGTTGCTTGCAAGGTCAGGCAGATCTGATATTTTCAGGGTAAAACTGCTCAGGGGCAGAAGGAAATGGCCAGACTGTCACTACGCCAGCTCCAACCCGGCCAGCAACATCAGCAGCAAGATTTTCTGAACAGCATAGAAGAGAATGGGCTGAAGTAATATGAAAACATGTCTTTGGGTCTTGTACTGTGGTAGGCAGGAAATGAGTGTCAGAACAAGACAAGATCCAGCTGAGGTCCCCACTGTTAAATTCCTAAATGTAGATCCCCGAGAGGCAGCACACAGAAAGGCACAGTGACTGTGCTGCCCAAGCACCCTGCACTTCCAGCTGCTCTGGGCAGCTTGGACAGATCCTTGTTGGTGGGCACTGTGTGTTCCAGAGCCAGGATGCTTGGGAACAGGCAGTCCTTCAGCTGATGGAGCCACAGAACACACCTCAAAACTGAAGGGGAAACTGCTGGACACAACTTCTGGGGACAGGCTACACCTCAGTATCCACCCAGTCAAGTGCCCATTCCCATCCCCACAGACATGGGAAGAAATTGCAGCTGTTGCCATGAAACTGAAAGACCATGAGAAGCTGCACCCTTGGCTAGGACAGAGACAGAGGCAGCAGCAAGAGTGAGAGAATGCAGACTTACTCCTTACCATCGACCCCTTGACTCCTGGAGGGCCTGGGGGTCCCACTGAGCCACGGTCACCCTGGAGAGAGACAGGTGCATAGGGAAGAGTGATCCAGAGCAATGAAACAACTAAACAAATTCACCAATTCATGTCTATGCCATCAGCTTTCTACCAGAAATGCTTCCAGTATTACTCCCTTTCCGTCCCTCTCATCAGAGTAGGGAAGGATTGCAGGAATTAACTAATCTTCCACATCCCAAGAGAGGGGACTTTACTCTTGCCATCAAAACCACCAAGGTGTGAAGGAAACAGGCACATCACCCTCAATTCCAAACAGTGCTAGGACTGAACCCAAGGAAATCTCCAGCCCTTCCCACCCAATGCATGACATGCCTGTTCTGCAGTATCACAATCCCTACGTGTGCTGGCAGTTTCAGAGCCATGGATTTAGAGTCTGTTGTCACAAGGCCCTGCTGAGAGCAGGGAATCAAGATGGAAAAAACCAGAGGTGCTGCCTGGTGCTTTCAGAGGAGACTGTGGGTGTTCTGGGGGAACTTCCTGTCCTGTGGCTCATGCTGAGGCCACAGTGCCAGCAACAATGACCTGGAGGTCTGATTTATGAGGGGCTCGGAGGTGGATGACTCCTCAGCCCACCTTAAAGGTAGGATCCCTTCTAAAACAAGTGGTTGAAAAGCTTTATGTTCTAAAACATCACTTATTCACCACAAAAGTCTTCTTTATCCCCTCATCCAGACCATCTCACTTGCCATGAATACATCCTTGACCCAAAGGTAGAAGACAAAATGGTTAAGCCCTCAGGAGCACCAGAAGACAAAATGGTTAAGCCCTCAGGAGCACCACCACAACCTGTTGATGTGAGGGTGACATGAAGGTGTGGCTTTAGTAATGGGACACATCTCCTTTGGGACACAGCTCCTTTGGGACACATGTCCTTTGGGACACATCTCCTTTGGGACTCATCTCCTTTGGGACACATCTCCTTTGGGACTCATCTCCTTTGGGACTCATCTCCTTTGGGACACAGCTCCTCTGGGACACAGCTCCTTTGGGAGATGGTGGCAATTCCCACACAATTGTCTGTAGTCTCCCTCTGGCCCCAGGGATGCACTGGGAATTAGGTGTGTTAGGTTTATATGCTCAGGGGGATGAGGAAGGAGGATTTAGCAAATGCTGCCAATTAGTTTACGCCCAAAATCTGTCCTACCTTCCAACAGCAAAAAGCATAAGGGGAAATCCCTTCTGGGCTCTAAGGAGCTTATTAAAAACAAACCCCAGAGTTTGTGTTGTCACCAGTTGGCCCTGGTAAACCAATGTACGGATTTTTTTCTCCCTGAATGGATGGATTTTATTAAGTGTGTATTAACTGCATTGTTCTCTTTGATAATCTTTGGATTCTACTGGCTTCAGTCTTAAGTTTTGCAGCTCTCAGAATGGAGATTGCTGACTCAGCTATGTCTAATGGAAGCATATTTCCCACTTCATTTAGCTCACAAGAGCGTAGTAAGCTGTAGGATACTATGCCAACTGGAGGCCTGGTTGAGGTTTTGATTTGATGATAGCTATTTCTGTCATCCCTAAGTTTGTCCTGGTAGAGAAGCCTGATGGAAATCCCAGCTGTGCTGAGGATCTCCAAGGGCAGATTTTCAAAGGACAGCCCGGGTTTGCCTTGACACTGATGTAACATCACATTACAGAGCTGATCTGGAAGCTGAGGATACCTCATGTGGTCAAGGCTTTGGCACAGAAGGCACAGGGGCAGATGTGAACTTAATGGAATAGAGAAAAAGATCTTCCCATGTCTTCTGCATGGCAAACGCCTTATTCTTCATTCAATTCAGGGCTGCAGCTGCCAATGAGACAGCTCACTCAAGCACCAATTTTCTGTGTAACCACCCTGGACACATCACAGACTCTTTATTCCTCTGTTTTACTTCTCTAAAATGCAGCCCACATCATGTCATTCCTTTTAGTTCTTGTGGGCCTTGACAGCTTGGACTGAGATTGGCTCTGCTACTGCCCCACTGGGGCCCACAGGATGGAAAGGCTGCTGTGGACAGACGATAAAATGGATCTGCAGCAAACACAGTATAACTGTCACAGAGTCTTTACATCATTACCCACAGGACAGGGCTTGAGGCAATAAAAGTGAGAAAGAGAGCACTGATGTGTGGAATGCATCGTTTTATGCTCTTCCCTATCTTTATGGCTGCACTGTGAATAATTAAACCACCAATGAAAACCAGCAGCGTGCGAGCGAGATACAATGAGTGACACAGATGATTTGTCTTTGGGAGCTGCCTCTGAATAAAAGTTTACACTCTAATAGAAAACAAATTAACGTCCTTTTACATTTTTATGTGAAATAAAGCCCTTTTTATTCCCCTGGAAGAGGTTTGTGTCCATACTGTACACAAGAGGGCACCAGCCCTGATTGTGCCCAAAGCAACCAGGGGCAGTCAGATGGGATGGTCAGATCAGAAGGGAAATATTTGTACCAGCCTTTGCTCAGATGGGTGGCTGCACTCTTGTGCACCTGAGAAATTTCTGAGACCTGTTCAATGCAGGCTCAGCCCTGGTCCAGCATGACCCCCCTGGCAACCCAGAGCACCCCTCTGCAGAAAACTGTAACCTCAATCCCATGGACTCTTCCCATGACCAGCAACACAGGGCTGATGGATCCCTCATTCCCATAAAAAACAGAGCTGACTGTTAAATACAAACTGCCTGGCACATTATGAATGAGGAAAGTTAATTTTTCAAAGAATATTTGACAGCATCTCCCTAGAGGACAGCACATGTTAATTCCTGAATAAGAAATGGATGATTTTGGCCTGGTCCTAGTCTAGCTCAGACACCCTGGACGTGCTTCATTCCCAGCTGGGTGTTGCACTCACATGTCAACTTAAATCTCCACAACCCTTCTCCCGCCTCAGCCTCCCCATCCTGCAAAAATTACAACAACCATTTCATCGCAATCCTACCTTTTCTCCTGCTATTCCAGGCTCCCCCACTGGACCAATGAAACCCATTAGACCCTGAGGAAAGAGGAGAGCACAACTAATTTTCAGTTTTCATTTGCTGAGAAAGTAAACAGTTCCTTTGGTCCACCTTGCTGGTTGCAATAGCACAGCATCCCTCCTATAATGCTCAGTAATTCCTACTGGCTACCAGAGCGGACGGAGTTGCTCCCGGCCATGGGAATGTCTAACTCCACAGCTGGTTCTGCTTTAGGCGCCAGCTGGAACAGCAGCACGAGGATCTGCAAGAACCACAACACACAGCAGAGTGGATGAGTGGAGGAAGAGAGGCCGAGTCCACAGCGTGGCTTTGTTCTGTGAGCTTTTCCCCAAACAGCTTCCCCAGGAGATCTGCAGCAGGAGCTCCTGGGTTGCACAGAAACAGACTTACCATCATTTTAGTGGATGGACTGGGTAAGCTTCCTCTGGGTTAATCCAAGCTGCCTCAGCCATTTGTGCAGGCTAATTTTGCCCTGGATAGTGTCATGCTGGTGGGATGCCAGGAGGAAATAAAGGTTCCTGCAGCCAGAGAGGCCAGCAGGGCAGTGGATCTCGCACACTACTCAGAAACCATCTTGGAACAAACCTCCAGTCTAAGCTCAGGGTTTAACAATGTTCGGGATAATGAAGAGGCAAACAGAACTGCTTCTAATTAGGAAGATGGAAACAGATGCAATCTCGAGCAAAGATGCCTGAGAATTAAGATACAGCAACCTCCCTACAGCTCCAGTGGTTTCTGGCTCTGGAGATGCAAGGGACTATCCCCTCAGCCACTGCTGGTGCTCTGTCTCCTCTGTGCCATGATGGAAATACCCATTAGCCATGGGATGACAGCTACAAACAGAGAAGCTCCACTATCCTGCAGGGGTGTCACCAACCTTTCTGAAATGTTCTTTGTTTTGAAATGGCCTTTGTGTCTGAAGCTGAGGCAGTCCTGGAGCACAAGAGTGTCATTGTGGCCAGGCTGCCCGGACCAGACACCCCTGAGACAGAGCTGGACTCGGCACAGATTGCCCAGTGCAGGAATCAATGGGAGAGCAGAAAACTCTGCAACATCTGCCTATGCAAGGTTGCCACTGGGTGGCATTGCTGAAGGCTGCTGATCAATTGTCCTCTCAAGCAGACACAAGTGCAGGTACACAACTGCATCCAGTTTCCAAATTCTTCCAATAGCCCAAGGCCATGAAGAAGGCAGAAGTTATAGCAGAGAATACAAAGCAATGAGATGCATCAGGGAAATGCATTGCTAGGCAAAAATAGACAATAAAGCAACAAAGAGTACATCTCTTGTTCATTTCCAATTTCTTGGAAAACCATAGAACTCTTTCTCTTTCTCCTGTGAATATGCTCTTTAAGAAATTTCTGGTTCCTTAGGCCAGTCCCTCAGAAGAGGGATCTCTGCTCTGCAGCAAGTGTTGATCCCATTGAGAACAAAACTGTTTCAAACTCCCTTCCAGGGATGCTGCATATCCAAGCTCTGGCTTGAAGGTCAATCTGCAGACCCACTGTCCATGGCAGCATCAGCTTCCACCCTCAAAAGCCTCTCAGGAATCCAGGTCCTGAAGCCAGGTGTACTGGTGGTGCTTCCCAGAGGGATTTGCAGGGATCTGAGCACTCCAAGAGCCCTCAGTGCCCCCCTGAGACCCCCTCAGATGTGCTGCTTGTTATGGCAGCTTGTGCAGGAACCTGCTGGAACACCAACACTGGCCCTGCTGCACACATCAACTTTGGGATGGAAGGGGAGCACAGCCAACATTTCAGCCCAAACCCAGGGAAAATTCTTGTGCATTGTGGTACAGCACAGGGGAAGATGTCACTGCTCCCCACGTGAGAGGACAGTCCCTTGGTGTGAACGTGAGATGCAGAGCAGGGACCTTGTAGCTTCCAGCACAGTAGCTCTGCAGTGTTTGCAGCCAGCACTGTCTGCTCTGGGCTAAATTAACCAACACTGCTGTGTCTGCAAGCAGACACAAACCGAGATAGATATGTCTATGCCAAGTAAATCTCAGTAAATTATCAGGAGTATAAGAAAAAACACGGGGAGATTGGGTAATGATGTTCTTCACTGGCCAAAATGGGATAGACACTAAAGGCAAGGAGATTTAGGTTTTAAGACAGAAAGATTTAGGTTTTAAGAACCAGAAGAGCTGCCAATGGCAAATATGTAATCAAAGCAGACATGAATGGTGGTCATTACACTGAAATGGCTGTGGCACAACATATTTTTCTCAGGTTCCCAGGGTTGAAAAGAGGGCCTGCATCAAACACGGCTCCGGGCAGTGTGTGTAATGATGCACGTGAAGTCCCAGCAGCGCTGGCTGCCCGGATAAAGGCCCACACTATACAGGAAAGAATGTAAAACATTTATATTAGACGGGAGTTCAGCGTGTCGCTCATGATTCAGTCTGCTGTATTCCCCAGCCAAGGGCATGGCGGAAAAGGGATGGATATTGTTAAAAAGTTGCTGGGGGCTTGGGGGGGTGGGGGGAAGGAAAGGAGGGGGGACTGGTGGTTGTAATTCCTAACTCCTGTCTCGCTTTCCCCATTTATTGTCCAGCCCTGTCATAATTAAGCCCCCCCTCTTGGCTCCATCAACGGAGAGCAAGTCAGCAATGAAGCCTTGCATAAATCATAGCCCATTTGAGAGAAACAAGCGGCCGGCGAGCCCAGCGTGAGCAGGGTCTCCCAGGGACGGGACCGCTAGTCGCTCCCAGCGGGAACCGATCACGGCCTTTCTGTTTTACTGGTTCGCTAGAACTCAAAACAAAACAAACCAGGGACAAAGGACGGGAGGGAGTAAATGTACAATCCTCCCATTCAGATGAAAGAAAGGGAAAGTAAAACAGTAAATATCACAGTTTAAAGGAGGACGCTCTGACCCGCAAAGAACAGCCGTGTGGTTTAACCCCCTGTGCACCGGGCTCGGCCCTGCCCTGGGCCCATGCTGGGCTCCCAACACCCTGTCACATCAAAGAGGCTGTGAACACCACGGTGCCTGAAAATCCCTGATGGAGATGTCTGGAGGTCAGAGATGCCCTAGAGGAGAAGGTAAATGGGTTGGAAAGGAGCAGTGTTAACTTGTGGGAAACACCAGTGCAGTTCCCTGCTCCATTCTTGGTGACCCTCTTGACCTTGGTTAATACAATCAGGACCTCCCCACCTGCAAACCTGACATTACAGACCCTCTCCTCTGGAAGGAGAAAGACACAAAGGAGATGGTGCTGGTGTCCTTTGACAAATTACCTCAGAAAGCTGATATTGAGACAACATACTTTGACCTTAAAGGACAAGAGACCTTCAAGGGGCCTTGGCTGTCCTTCCCAGCACGGAGGGATGGGTCTGTGGCTGACCCTGACACAGCCCCATGAGTGAGCAGGGCTGTCACTTCTTGTACAGGGAAGGGACTCAAACAGCTGCTCTTGCTATGGCAGGACCTCCCCAGTCCCATTAAGGACATAAATCAATTGAAGCCTCTTTCAGCTGGCACAACTCTTCACTGGGATTTTCTAGTGCCAAGCAGGGGCTCCCTGGGATTGCAGAACCTTCCTGTTGCTTCTCCCACAGGGCTCTCTGACCTTCAGCATGGACATTTTGGTGACATTCTCCTGCTGTGCATTCCCAGCTCTGGCACAGGAAGGTTGGTGGCTTCCCTGGCCTGTGGCCCTGTATTCCTCTTCGTATCCTTCTGACTCCATTTTCAGGCAAGGAAGGGTTAACCCACACATTTCCAGGGTACTGGGGCACCCTGCAGCTGGAATCCTTCCAGCACATGGAGACAACAAGCATCTCATGAATGATCGTCCCCAGTCTGTGTCCTTGCAATGGAAAAACAACGCATCAGGGACTGCCCTGTGGCTTAAAACCTCACTTTTCAATGAGAGCTCAAGTATCACTGGAAACCCACAGAAACTCACATGTTTTCCTAAACAGATGTCCCTAAGAAAGGGAAGAAACCTCCAGTGAGATGAATGGCTGATCTCTTCTCGTGCTGTTATGCTGAGATTTTCTCCTCTGAGAGAACCCATTTGTGAGGCAGAGCAGCAGGATTGAGAAGTGTGACCACCCTTAGTGTGGAACAGAAAACACCAAGGTCTCCACAAGAGAAAACAGGGTGAGGTGATGGTGTCTTCAGTGGCAAGGGCCTGAGCCCATCCTCTCAGGGCCCTGCAAAAAACCAACCTGGCCCAAACAGCAGCTGCTGAAGTTTAAGTGGAGGGAGAAAGGAAACCCCAACACTCCAGCATCTGTTCAGTGGAGGTGTGATGAGAGAGGAGGTTATTTCTCGTTAGTCTGGTGAAACATTTTTGTTCTAATGACTTGACTGGCTCAGAAATGGAAATTTTCTGCGTGATATTTCTAGAGAGAGACTAATTGACTAAGAATAACACAGGCAGCTTTCCTACCACTGTGCTGGTTTCAGTGTCAGCAGAGGCCAGCTGTGTTTTCTTTTCTATGAGCAGTGCCTACAGTTCTCATCCAAGGTCAGTCCTGAGGGAAGTTAAAGAATAATAATCCTAATGATGCTTTGCCCTTCAAGGACAATGTCTGGTTAAGGATCTCAAAGCACTTCTGAATATTCATTTTTAACAGTATCCACAGGTGCCACTTCAGAACAGGAGGCACTGGGCTAAGCTCTGCTCAGGGCTGTCTCACACCTTCCACAGGAGGGGAAGCTGAGGCACAAAGCACTGGAAAGTATTCCCTGAGATCGTGCAGAGTCTGATAAAGCTGCAAGTAGAACTCAGATGTGAGGAATAGCTTTGCTCCTTTGCTCTTCATGGAGCAAATTAACAACCATAAGACAGAAATGGCTCTAATTTCCAAACAGAAGTAACCAGCTTTGATAGATACTGAGGCTGGTATCAGACTGCTGGTACTGAAAAGGATACACCTTGACTTTGTTGGACTTGCTTGGTCAGAAACCCTTGGTGGAAGTGACCCCTGGCTGTTGCACACAGGGTAAAGAAGAGCCAGAGAGGCTGACAAGCTAAACCAAAGCAGACCAAGCATGCTGACCCCAGCAGGGAAGGTGTTGGGAAGGACAGCAGTGGTGAGAAGCAACACCCACAGCACCAGGGCCAGCTGCCACAGCCTGCTTGGTGTGGTGGTGCAGGAACACACAGAGTACATTGGAGGCCCTGTGGTTTCACTTTCAGGGTTGTTGGTGGACAAGTTTGTTGGTTTCAATGACAGAGATGTGGGAACAATTGCTGCTTTCTCCTTGATGCCTGTGGTTCCCCCAAAGCCTACAGGGATAATGCATGTCCTGGGTTATGCCAGCAGAATGTTCTCTGTGGAATTACAATGAAATGCAGCTCAGTGTTTCTCTTCCCCAGCGTTTGGTTTCTTCAGCTGCTATCTCCTCTACTCCCCAGAAAATTTAGGGGAAGCAAAAGCAACATAGCACCCAAAGCAGAGAATCCTGTTCTTAAAAACCACATTGGCAAAGCCTGGAACGTGGAGCACCAGGGCTGTGGGCAGCTTTGAGGTGGCCAGAACTCCTTGGCCACTGCCCTCTGCCTGCACTCTGGGCACCCAGGATGTGTTGTACAGAGGAGATCACATCAAGGGGACAAGGAAAATAAGGAATTTACCTGCTCACCAACTTTCCCTGGTCGGCCACGGTTTCCTGGCTCACCCTGCAGGACAAGGAGACAAAGGCACAAGGGTTACTTGGCACTGCCAGCCAGGCCCTGGGCACAACTTGGCTCTTTGTACGCCCCTTATTTGGGCTGCAAAGTGTGAACTGGGGAAAATCTGTGAGAAACATCATCTTACAAAACCAACTGTGACTTGGAGGATAATCCAAAGCAGGAAACACTATTGACACAAACATGGAGCAAACACTTGCAGTTCTGGAGCGAAACGCCCCAAAAGCTGGTCCTGCTGTAGTAAAATATCCTTCAGAGAACCACATTGAAACATAAGGTATCTACTGCCCTGTGTCACAGACCCAGCCCAGTCCTGGTTACTTTATCCCAAAGTTTTACAAAGCATAAGAAGAAAAGAAAACCCAACTATTCCCAGGCAATGCTGCACCCTGATTCTGTTGCTACAAAACCTCAGAGAGGCTCACGTTACTGTCACATGGAGCACTCACAGGAAAACCACAGCAAGAACTTACATGAGATAAATCCCAGTGCAGGAAGGAGTTCAGAACATAAAAATGATGAGGGGTGAAGGAGAAAGCAGAAGGAGAAGGGTTTCAAAGCCACCAGGGATAAGGGCAGCTGTGGCAGCGCGTGGAGGCCGTCGTTGTGCCCCTGGATGGGCCATCACAGGCTCACCAGTGTCTCCAGGACAGCAGCTGTATTTTCTCAGTAGGCAGATACTCCAGATATGCTGCCAGACCATATTTTTGCTATTTAGTGTTTGAAGAGGTTGTTTTTGTTGGGTTTTCTCTTTCCTTTCGAGTGTGGGTTTGTGGAGTGCATTGCCCTGGGATGGCTCCTGCTGATAATTAGGCAGCAAAGATAGGAATGATGTGCATTGTTTTAGAACAAAACCATGGAGAAGCGATGGAAAATGAGATGATGATGGAGGGAGAAGTTGGTTAATATCAAAAGAGGAACACTTTTGTTTATAATGGCTTAAGAAATGCACCACCATTCTTTTTGAAGAAAGAAACAGAAGCTAAGACCCCAAAATTCAGAGAAAAAGAGGAACCCTCTTGTTCTCTCTGGAATGAATACCTGGGAGAGTGGTAAAGGTGAGGAAAGATATTTCCCTCTTCCTTTCTTCCCTTCTACCCACTGCTTCCCTAATCAGGAACAAGCTCTTTTCTTACCTTTGGACCGTTGGGACCAGGTGTTCCTGGAAATCCCTTCCGACCAGATCGACCCTGAAATACATGGAAAAACCATAAACATCAAAAGCTTGCAGCTGCTTTGGTCACAGGTGCAGCTTACATACTTAAAAAATAAAAGATAAAGATATAACATTCATTTTCTGATCAATCTGTTACCAATTTTGGGATATTTTACTATCCTGAGGTGACAATTCTGTACAAATCCATTACAAAATCCTGAGCTGACAAGCTCACAGATATGACAATATTCTCTTTGCTTCTTCTAACTGTGTTTCTCTAATAGATCACAGAGGGCAAAAGGACTCTCTCTGACTGCCCAGTCTTTTTTCTTTCTTTTTCCTCTACTCATTGAAAAATACTATAAATCAAGGAAGAAACACAAGGGCTGGTTATGGAGTTGGTTTCCAATCAAAGCCATTTATCTTGAGGATGAACTGTTTAAACATTAGAGAGTTTTTCAAGGTTTGAGACTTTAGGCAAGTCATAAACTCGATACCCTGTGCAAGACACTTCCTGGACTTTCAGCCATCCTGGATCAAGCAATCAATCAAACCCTGGACAAGATAATTATTCATAGCAGGGCAGATTAGCTTCCCAAACCAGGAGGGTTGAAGCTTTATGAGAAATTAATTACAATTCCATTGCAAGGTCATCAGAGCTGGTAATAACTGAGTGAATAAATGACTGAAACCTACCTCTGGACCAGGGACTCCTGGTGGTCCTAAGGGTCCTTCATCTCCCTGAGGTGAAAAGAAATTAAAATAAAAGGTGAAGTAGTGACAAAATTTGGACTCACCACGTAGCAGGAATGAAACGCCTGCAGTGTGAGCAGCAGTTAAACACAGGCTGTGTGCTCAGCTGTCACATTTCAACAGCTGAGCCCTTCTCTATCTTAAAACAGCCTCTGAGCTTTCTCAAGAAAAAAAGATCTCAAGTCAAGTCCTGCCAGTAAAAGCCATCCAAAATTTAACCAAGGAAACACCAGTTGATTTGGTCTATGATGGGCTGGATTTGGCCACTAGGGTACCCTGGACGTGCTGCCTTAACTCTGCGTCTTTTGATTTGGCAGGGATGTGAATACTATAGAGTTCCCTTTTTGTTTCTTCCCCCCTTTCCTCTCCCTTCCCTCCCAAAAAGCATGTTCCAAAATTTCCCACAGAACCATTTGGCAACTGTATGAACGTTTCCCTTTTGCTTTCAGCTGGGACTACACATGCTGCAGGATGGAGCTATCACAAAATCTCACACAGCAATTGGACTCGGTCCTTTCCCTTGGCTCCACACCAATTTCTAATGTGATAGGATCAGATCTACAGTTTCTAAGAGACCTTCAATTAAGCTTCACAAAAATTATCTCAAGTGTTTAAAACCAACTGCCAAGAGAGAAATTAAAAGCGCCCTTGGCAGCCACAGCCTGGCTGCTCTCGTTTTGGTGGTCAGCCGTGGTAATGAAGGGGCACTGACAGGCTGAGGGTGGGATTGGGGGTCAGGAACCCAGCTCCAAAGGCTCAGACAAGCCACCACAATACACCACATTTCCAGTGAGATGTAATTCAGAGCCCTGACCCAGTGCCCTGGGTGACCGTGGTGGTAGGAGCACAGTGCTGTGCTCTGCTGCACGCTCAAAGTCCTTCAGCACAGCTTGCACCAAACTCCATGTCCATGTCTTTGGGTTTACTTTTACACTCACTAACTAGAGTAAACTGAAGGCAGCTTGGTCACGCCTGCCTGAACCTGGAATGCAGGGCTTCGATTCCCTTTGTATTTTGGCTGGAATATTTTTTTTTCCTATTTCACTGCAAATAAATGAGCTAATTTGCATTAATCCCATTTAGAGAACAAGCAGAAGAGTTCCCAGAAAAAGTTAAGAATTATTAGTGCTATTAAAACGAGCTCCTACCCATGCATGTGCTCAGTATTATTTACACAATGTCTCGTGACTCTGGACAAATAGCTTACACTGGCCTGAGTGAGAGGAAATTACACCAATGTCACTGGAGTTACAACAGGATAAACAGGGAACCCAGACATTCTCTGCTGCTCCCATAATGTATTTTCAGATCCAGGACAACTAAATCAATGACAAGTGTTCCCTTCTTAATGACTGCAAGTGGAATGATGCTTCAGGTTCTGAGGGGAAGTGGTGAGTGAAAGCTGCAAGCTCTGAGGTGCTGGGCAAATGAATTTCTGCAGGGCAGCAATTCCCATTTCCTTCTCTTTTTACAGAGGGATGTTTCTCCGTGTGAGAGAGCGGAGTCTGAAGGTCTCATGGTTGAAAAGGAGCACACTTAAAAGGAGCAGAAAGCAAAAGCCAGGCCAGGGCATGTCTGTGCAAGGGGATGTGCAGGGAAAAGGGCTCCAACACCCATCTGGGGGTGGGGGAACAGGCTTTAAAAGAAAAGCCAAGGCAGAATTTAGGGTCAGCAGATGCCAGCAGTGACTGGAAACAGAGATCACAGGACTTGGAGATCACACAGCTTAGAGGAAGCTCCTCTTCTGCAGGTCTCTCATCACTCAGTGTAAGCATCTGTTTCCAGATTCAGAGGGTCCAGAGCATTTTAAACCATGGACACCATTTCACCATGCATTAATTTACAAAATTCAGCGTTGTTCTTTAAATCAAATTTCTTTTCAGCTTAGGACACTCACCTCTTGTCCAGGCAGTCCTCTTGGCCCAGGTAAACCTCGTGCTCCTGGCTTTCCCTGAGAAAGAGCCAAAGGAAAAGATAGTCAGAAAATAGAAACATAAGCTCAGAAGGGCAATTAAAATGAGAAAGTCTCTTTCACAGCCATGGGACATTATCCAATGTCAATTTTGTTGCAGAAAAAAAAAATCTGAAGAAAAGAAAACGCTGCACTTGGAGGGACCTCAAGCCAAACAGACCAAGCTGAGATGCTAGCCAGGACAGTCTTTAGGCATCTCCTGAGGTTTCTCTCTTCCCCCCTTCCCACTACTTTGTTTTCCCTGGCTGCTTCCAGCCCCACACGGAGCCGCAGTCTCTGCTCCACTCACCTTCAGACCTTCGGGACCGTTTTCTCCTGGTGGGCCAATGTCACCTGGGAAGCCCTGGAGAAAATGAGGAAGAGTCAGGGTGCACAGGTGGGATCTGCAGGCAGTGTCAGGCTCTGTGAGGGGCTGAGTTCAAGGCTGAGGGACAAGGTGTGTTCCACGCTGGCAGCGTCCGTGTGGGGGCCACCACGGCTTCGGGAGGACACGATGGAGCACCCCGAGGGTTTGATGGAAGAGCAGCCTCTCCCAGCAACTCCCTTCAGGTCCATCTGACAAGATTTATTGCAGTTCGGACCTCCCTGTCATCACACAGCTAAAAGCAGCCATTGGGGTTCTCATTAATCTTTGTGAGTCAGCGCATAACCTCTGTGCTCCGAGGAAGGAGCTGCAGCCTCGGCAGCAGAGGGAAGCAGGAGAGGAATTAGGAAAGGTGCTGACACCCTCATTAGCTGCTGTCATCCTGGCATGGTTCCTCCTCACCCACCCACCCATCGAGGAGGAAACAAAGGAATCCACGCCTATTTCCAATAGCAACAAAGAGGAACAGATTGCTCACAGTGGCAGCACTCAGCTGAGAGCCCTTCCAGACCCCTGGGAAATGCCAGAACGCTGCTGAGGGGAAAGCAGAACATCAGGTGTGCTGCGAGTGGCTCTCTGGCATCTTACAGACCTTGTCTGGTCACTTTGGAAGGAGAAAAATGATGCTGTGCTGGGGGAAGCTCAGCCTGCATCTAAAGTATCACTGTGACTGTTTTTTGGTAAGGGAAGTAAGAGGATTTTCTGCTTTAAATGGTGTTTTGAGGGGGAAAAACTGAAAAAAACTCCTCCATTTTATCTATGACAAAAAAGGGGAAGGAAAAAACCAGGAAACCATGAGAAGTAGAATGGGTCATGAACCCATCTTGAGCCTTGCTCCCCCGTCACCACTATATCCCAGCAGGGAAGTGAAGCCCTGGGCTGGAAGGATGTGAGAAGGAGGTGGTGGGACATACCTCAGGGCCAGGTGGTCCTGGAAACCCAACTGGTCCCTTGTCACCGACTTTTCCCTGCAGAAATCAGAAAAACATGGGGAAAAGTGAGCTGGCTCCTGGCTGTCAGGTTTCCTGTTTAGAACAGGACACCCCTGCCAAGCTGTCTTTCCAGCTGGGCATGGAACCTTTGGAAAGGGGGATTAGGAAGCAGAAGGTACTTGGTTACTTACCAGGGGCCCTGCTTTCCCTCGTGCCCCAGGGACCCCAGGCAAGCCCTGGCTGCCCTGAGAGAGACACATTTTTTTCAGAACACAATGAGGCATCAAAAAAATTCCAATTCCCCAGGCTCCAGCTTTGCTGCAGAATGAGGAGCATCTTCTAAAGGCTGGACTCAGCCCTGCATGGAGCTGGGACAGCTGCACTAATGTCAGTGAGATGTTTCTGAAGACAGCCCCGAATTTAGCCCCAAAGAACACGAGCTGCTGCAGTTGGCTGTGGCTCAGAGCCACACAGGCTCCAGCACAGGGTTGTGTGCAACATTTGTCAGCCACAGTCAGTATCACATTAAGTCACAGGGGAGAAGTCATTTGATCAGAAGTTATACAGAGCATTAAGTGCTTCCCTGGGTCAGGGTTTAAGTTGCTGCACTGAGCAGACAAAATCTCCTGAGTCTGCAGCCGCTGGACCACACACATTCACACACATCCCCATCAATCCCATCACTTCCAATCTCTGCTAGAAGACATATCCCCTACAGATAGACCCCTGCAGAACTGCTTTTACTATGAGTGACTACAAAATCCCTATTCTGACATGGATTTTAGAAAGGCACAGCATAGCCCAAATGGGAGCTACCCAAGCAGGGGAACCTGACAGCAGGATGCAGCTAATTCCAGCTCCTGGTGGAGGAACTGGGAAAACTGGTGGCCACTGCTATGGAAGGGGAAAAGAATGATGGAGAAAAGAAAAACAATTACCTTGTCTCCTTGGAAGCCAATATCTCCTGGAACACCTGCTCTTCCCTGATCACCCTGGGTACACATCACCAGAGAGTTAAAATAGGCAACAGCAACAGCCAAAATACCCAGGTTGATGCTTAGAAGGTGTTTTGTACAGCAAAAGTCTCAACTCAAAACCAAACTGCTGGCAAGCTGCAGACCACATTGAGTGTAGCAACAGCCCTGAACAAAGTGTGTATTTCCCAACTTGATCCCAAGGTGAGAAAGGAAACTGTGGGAGAGCGAAACCCAGGAATTCCCAAGCATTGTGTATCTACAGAAGCTGCAAGAAGAGAGAGAGTTCCTCTGGCTCACAGGGACCATGATGCTGGTGAAGTGTTAAATTCAGCTGAACAGAAGGGTTCAGTTTTCAACGAATGAACCTTTTTTCTCACAAGGCTCTATAGAAAAGAAAACAATCCTCAGGGTTTCTATGAGCATATCCCAGTCCTGACATCAAACATCAATCCTCTTTCACAAGAAAACAAGAGCAACTTGTGGTAATGCTTTAGTACCACCTCACTGCCAATATCTGAGCTGAGATTCCCTGGGAGGGGTTGGCTGGTGTTCACTAGGATGGGGAGCCCATCACTGACAGTATTTCTCACCAAGCTGTCTGTCTGTCCTCTCGTTGGACCAACAGAACACATCCTGACTCCCTGAAGGCTTTCCAAGGAGCAGTGGGCTACCTTGCACTGGCTCTTAGCCCTGCTGTGAGCAGCTCTGGACCAAATTACCTCCTGATGCCCCTTCCAACTTCATGTACTTAGTGATTTACTTAAACAAAGGATGAGTCAATGATGGGGCAGAGAAAGGAAAATTCTACTTGGGAAGTCAAGGGAGGAATGACTACAATAACTTGGTACAATGACAAGACCCAACAAAAATAACTGCTGGAGGAACTCTGTCCCATGAACTTGGCTTCCCAGCAAGGGAATGAGCCACTCCAGAGCTATATGTTCAAACACAGTCCACATGGAAGACATATGGAGCCCTGCAAGAGAGCCAAAGTCCACAGAGAGATGTCAGAGAAAGTCCACTTCACTCCAGAAAAACCACCCCCTTGTTATCAGAGAGCTGAAATAATTGTAACTACTTCAGTAACATGCAGGGGATAATGAAATTGTGGACAGTTCAGGTTTGAGTTGGTAAAGACTTTTCAAACACAATTTTTCAGAAGAAAATAATTAAGAACTAAGCAGATTCAATGATGGAAACATTTCATGGATTCATGCTAAATTTGCTTAAATGTTTTGGCAAATGTTCCCGGAACATTTCGCTGAACCATCTTCAAAACAAATCTCTTACATAGCAAAATAGAAATGTTGCTCTTAAAAATGTTAAATTGATTTCACTCGTTTGGTTTTTAACCTAAAATATTTTAATTTGAGTCAAATAACCAACATTTTGTTTCATCTAAGCTATTTTCCATTTTTTTTTTTTTTTTGGCAATGCGAAATGGAAACAATCAGCTCTTCACACAGCTTCAGTTCGGAAGAACCCCAAGTATTAGATACAACAGAAATGGCAAAAAATAACTACTGTGTGACCCTGCTCCTTCACAGATTTCTCTCATCTTCTCTCAATTTTCTACTTATTTTATGTATTCCAAGGCTTAAAACATTGAAATCTACTTAATTCTGGCTCCTGACTGAAGGCAGCATGAAAACAGCTTTTCTGGAAGTGACAGGTTGGCTCTGAGGTTTGCCTTTATCATCAATTCTGAGGGTCAAAAAAAGAAAGGTTATATTTTTTATTAAACTATTTTCTACCCAGACAGTACAAGTGGCCATTGAAATACTGTTTTGGAGGAAATGCTTGGACACAAAGTAATAACTGCTAAAATAAAAGAGTTTCCTGAGCATAGCAAAATGCAGGAGCAAACCTTTGTCTCCAACCTTTAGGAAAAGTGGGGCATGAAAATTAAACTAGTTTTCAAACAACTCTGAGAAATGGGCAACTGAGGGCTGGGGCATCACCTTTTACCTGCCCTGGAACTGGGACTTGGGATCTGTGTCCTTAATATGAGGGAAAAATTACAGAGGAAAGAGGTCAGGCATGTTTGTAATTAAAAACTGCAATGCTGAGATGACGAAATGGGTCTGCAAGGACTCGGTTCATGGGGCAGGAAAAGGAATGTAGGATCTGAAATTACAAACAGGCTCTGCCCATGGGATGCTGCCTGTGCTTCGTGTTTCACCTATAAAAAGAAATGCAGCTTCAGACACCCCGAGGCCCTTTGTAACCCAACACAAACGGAGAGGGGCTACAAGGGAAGGGACCAAGGCACAGCTGTGGGATGTGTTTGCTGTCTGTGGGATGCAGAGGTCATTGTGCAAAATCCCCTCAATTTTCCTCGATTGGAAGTCTCTGTTCCCAAGACTTCCTGCTCAGCATTGCAAAGGGAGCTAACGCCACACAACTCCAGAGGTATTTCCCTGAGCCATGTCCTCCACAAGCTACAGATGTCCTGATTCATAAAACTCCTTTGAGAGAACAAGTAGATGGGATTTCCTCTGCTTCCTCCACCTTTCCCCTGCACTCATCACCCCACGTGGTCTTCTCAAGGCTACTCTTTATTTCAGAGTTGCACAGCAATTCCACTTCTCCCTATAAGAGCAGATACAACCCTCTCCTCCTCCTCCTCTTGCTGTCGTTGCCTCCATGAAAACACAGGAATGGAAACAGAAGGATGACCTGGACCTGCCTGTCTAGCTGCTAGATGACAAGATGTGATTTCTGCTGGAGGAGTGAGGTGTTGTCCCTAATTCTGGTTCACACCATGTGGTGAGAGGTGGATTGAGCTGGCAGCTCCAGGGATGTTCCCACTGCCTCCATACACCATCCAGCCACCCTGTCATTATCCTCAGCTTTTACCAGCATCCATCTCACTGCTGCTGACTGAAGGGAGATTTCCTCAGCCACAAAAAGACAAACCTGTACAAGGCCACGTGTTCTAGATGTGACCAAGACAGATGGGATTAATAGGAGCTTGCAGACATCAAATTAAATCTTCATCAACCCATCCCCAGGAAGGCAGGATGACCTGCAGCCTGGAGCTTGCAGGGGGAGGCAGTTGGGAGGGGAAGGAAAAGGTTTCCTGTACCTCAGGAGCGTGGGATTGTTGGGAGGATGGATAATTCCACACTTGGGAGTCTTGGATGGATAACTCCAGAGAGAGCCACAAACCACTTGGTTACTGTGACAGCAGTGACTGGGGAAATACTGGGCATAAACTGAGCAGTTCTATAAAGTGATGGAGACTGAATTGTCCAGGAAGGTTCATTTTGCTCAACAATGATTTAGATTCTGGTGATTCTTAAGATATTTAGCCATTTCTCCCAAGGAGTGGACAGAGGAGTCTGTGGACTCCAGGATCTGGGGTTTAGTCCAGAAACCAGCTACAATGTCTTAAGCTTGTCCTAAAGAAAAAGTCCTTCTCTTGCCTTGTCACTACTCTCAACAGAAGTGGAAAGGCAGCACAAGGGAGAAATGGAAATTGCAGACACAGGAGTCCTGGCAAAGAGCTGCTATAACATAAGAAGAGCTGAACCAACTGGTTTGACACTGCTTCCCCCCTGTGCACTTTTGGGCTGCTAAATCATTCTCTAAAAGCAAACATCTAAAAAGAGAATAAAACATCCGACAGGAGGAGGAGAATACACTTAATGGTCATTTTCCACTGCCCTCCTGAGCAATCAGAGCCAGCAATAAATAACAGCACCTCCCACTCTTTCAGACTAAATAAATCCTACAGCTGAGTATCTGTAGGAGGAGGGTTCTTGTGACAGTGAGACATTTACACACACAGCTTCATGCTGATCTAGCTGAAGCTGCGTGGTTTTGTGCCAGCACCACTAAATCACTGCAATCAAGGCCCCTCTCCATTTTGCTTTTTCTAAAGTGATTTATATCAGTTTGGGACAAGGCAATTTCCTCTCAGTAGGAAGCTGAACTGAGGTGAGGCTCCTTGAGCAGGAGCAGAGGTATCCAACACCCTACAGTTTTTCCAGGGGATCCACCTGGTTTGATACAGGGCTGCTTTTTCACAACACATCTTTCCCCCAAATGCATTAATGCAAACTCACTGGATCATCTCCTCCCCATCCCATCACGTAAACAACATAAAACCAGTGGAACACCAGATAACTGTACAGTTACTGCCATCATCAGTGGCAGACAGGAGCTCCAAAGAGGATCTGAGCATAACTTATCTATACTCCATGGAAAAAGGGATGGGGCAGATATCAAAGAAAGAAAAATTAAAACTAGTGTCACGAATGGAGGGAGAGTGAGAGGATGGGGCAGAGATGGCCGGAGTGGAACCAGCACTACAATGCTGAATAAGAAACTAGAAAGGGGGTTTTACATGCAAAATTAAAACACAGTGCAATAAGGGAGTATTCAGATCACCTTATCACCTTTCAGTCCATGTTCTCCAGGGTTTCCCATCAGCCCCTGAAACAAAAGAAAGTTCAGAGTGAGGCTGAGCCATGGTGGAGACTTGCTCAGGTCTGTGACATTGCTGTTTACTGATGGGGCTGGTGGCTCAGACCCACAGCACTGGCCTGGCACAGTCTCAGGGTCAAATGCCAGGCTGCTCCCAAATTGTGCTCCATCACACATTCTTCATGTGCTGCAGGCAAGCTGGAAAATGCTTCTGGAATTCTCCACTGACTTACAGCCACTGCAGAGCACCAGTGGGATGTTGTGTTCAGCAGGCCTGTGCCTGCACACACATCACTGCTGCCCATCCCTTCTCTCAGCACAGTCACCACTGCCCAAAGGAGGAACGGAATAACCTTCAGCCCAGCTATGGAGGGATGAGGGCTCAGAGAGCTCAGATATTCCCTCACCTTTAATCCTTTTGGTCCTGGGTAGCCAATTGGTCCAACAGGGCCCATGTCACCCTAGTGAGAGAAAGAAAATTACCACAGTCATTAGGGGCAAACCCAACAGATCCCTGCACGTGGCGTGAAATTCCTCTGATACCCAGTCTCAGTGTCCCTGAAGAAATGCACTACTGATGTCAACAGAAGCAGCATCCCGGCCTGAGTCAAAGCTCTTCGAGTGTGCAGACAGCCCCTAAATAAAGGCAGCACTCAAAGGAAAGAGAGACAGGAGGTGGGGACAGAGGTGTCTCGTCCTGCTGCAGTGAGAAGTCAGCGTGGCATTGTGTGCTGGGACTCAGTCTAGCACAGGAGGACAGCAGAGCTCTGGCTGCTGTGGGCACCCATGTGTGATGTGCAACAGAAACCCTTCAGTGCTGGTGTTGAAATGGGCTCTGGCTGCTCTCTGCCATGAAGAGAGGCAGTGACAGGGTGCACCAGCCTGGCCTCAGTGTGTAAATAAACAGGGCAGGCTCCCTGAAGGAGCGATTCTCCAGCCGCAGCCCCGGGCCTGCGGTCACGCAGAGAGAGCTGGGCTGCAGCAGCCCCAACAGAGCCCTTTTCATACCTCCTAGCATAAAGGCTGCTTGTAGAAATGCATTTACTTAGAGCTCTGCCCTCATGGTTAATTAGGAGAGCAAGAGGCTTTAGTTACACCTAATTCTGCTCTTCAGCCTCTCTTACACCGTGAACCAAACTCTGCAGGGTGTGTGAGGCAGCCAGAGCCTGGCTGGTCCCCAGGGTGGCTGCAGGTGGCAAGGGAGAGACCCAACAGGAGCCATGTGTCACCTTCTGCATGCCCTGCAGCGTGGGGCCCCTGTGCACACCCTGGGGAAGGAGCTGGAGCTGTCTTCCACAGGGGGAGGATGGATGTGCTCCCTTCTCCCCAGGAGGATGGAGGAGGTCAGTCTCGGTCTATCCCACTAGAGATGCTTCAGCATCCTGAATTCAGGAGTGACCCTGGGACACAAGGTCTGACTCAGTTTGACCTGAATCTCAGTTTGAGGTTTGGCTAGGCTGGTGTGATGGGGAGGACAGGCAGCTTCTGACTCCAGCATCTCCAGAAGGATCACAGTCACATTTACCATCTCTGACCTAACGCTTTCTAACAAACAAAGTATCTGTGAGATTACTGCAACAGGGAAAAAATAAATCTTTCCAAAAGCAAGGAGGAATGTAATTCAATCTGGAAAACACCTTCAATGGTATTGTTTTAAATAGCAATCTTCATTTTCCAGCTTTTTGATGGGAGCACATTCTTTCTGCTGCTATGGCTAAAGTAGCTACTTCCATCTCCACTCCCCAATGAGGGGAAACAGACCTAATTCCTGGTTCCATGGAAAACCTTCCTCTCAATCCACCTCTGCCCCAATCCCCCATCTCCAAGACAGGTGTTCCACCCATATTCCCTGCTGTTCTTCCAAGGAATGTAAAATTTCTGGGTTTGTGCAATGTCTCGTGCAGTGGATCTAAGCTGACACACACTCCTATAATTTAAGCTATGGAAAGGCAAAAGGAGAAGGCTTTTAACCATTCCTTGCAAGCCAAGTCTCCATGGATTATCACAGCTGAGGAGGAATCATTACAAAAGAATGCTGTAGTAGTAACAGAGCCTACAAATTTTTGTGCATGGAAGGGAATAACCTGAAGCAAGTCCTGAGACCTAAAAATAAACCATGCTATGTTCAGCTGGGCATTCCCTAACCCCCAGCACTGCTGCCAGGGGAGGAGCTGCCACCCATCCTTACAACCATTTATCTCCTGCTGGGGAAAAAGTGGAATGAAGGGTGGAATTTGGCTCAGTACAAAATGCTCTGGATTAGTGATGGGATGGTGAGAGTGCATGTAAAATTCCTGTCTACCCAGACAAACTCTTCCTGCCCTCAGACTCTCTGGTGAACAAGAACTGTGTGTCCCCGAGGTCACTGCTTACAGGGACTTGCTTTTGCAGAGATCCTGGTGTGGAATGAAAGCTGCATCTTTGAAGAAATACCTTGGCAAATGTTATCAAAAGGGAAAGTTATCATGAGAAAAAAGACACTAACAACAGACTTCTAATCTGTTTCCTTTTGTTTGGAAAGGGTTTGCCCTCCTCCACCTCCCAATGCACCAGGAAACCCGCTCTCTCCCCAGATGTCACACCTCCCCCAAACAAACAGTATCCTGCTCACAGGAAGAAGAAAATCTGTGTGTAGTTAGGCAGGTTGAAAGGGTTAAAGCCCGACAAGCCAGATCCCCATTTGTTTTTGTACTTACAATGAGTCCAAGGACTCCAGGAGGACCTGGGGCTCCCAATTCTCCCTAAAAGGAAAGACAAACCCACACGGTTAGGGACACTTTATAGACAAGCAGAGACTGAAAGGCAGCTCAGTGTTTCAAGGGCTTGAGGGAAGGGAAAAGACCGTCCCTCCCCCTTCCATCCCCAGCCCCTTTCCCCACCAAAGTGACCCAGAACTTCCATCTTGGGGAGTGCACTTGTGAGCACATCCTGGGAAGACACAGGCTGCTTGTTGTTGGGCAGTTATTCCCAGGGCTGACCTCCCTCCCAGGAGCAGGCTGGATGAAAGGAACATTTCACTGTGCAGGGGAGAGGAGGGAGCCTGCCCCAGGTGAGATCCAGCCACTGGCAGGGAGAGGGACAAGAGCAGGGAGGGGACACGGGGAGAGAAAGGCTAAGGTGGGAAGGAGAGGAAAGCTGCTGCTTTAACATTGAGAAAGGTGAGTTTTTGGGAGTGGTTAAGTAATAATGAACCTCAGAGGAAAAGGAAGACCGGCATGAAAATGAAACTGGGTAGTTTGGGGAGAGGGTATGGCAGCTTCTGGTGCTGGCAAAAAGGTCCTGGGAGTATATTTGGTACCCTGGAGCTCACCATTCCAAGGGTCAGATGGCTGATGGGGCATGTGGAGCTGGTTTGGCTTCTCAGCTTCACCACAGACTTTCTCTCTGTGAGCTCTCCAAAGACATGCAGAAGCACTGGCGGGTGCCTGGTGGCATCTTCAAGTGAAGCCCAGCAGAGAAGCTCTGCCAGCCCCCCACAGCTCACCCACCCAGGCCTCTGAGCAGTTCAGCAACCACGGGGTGCTCAGCCTGTCCCGTGTCCCCCTTGGTGGCCTCCCTGGCCACGCTAACAGTGAGCTGCTTGTCAGGGCAAGGACCTGCTCTTACACACCTCCATCTCCAACAGGGCCTCTCAAAACAAGTGCATTGGAAATGCTGAACTTCCTGTTAACTCAGACAGTCCTGCCCCTGCTCTGGATCATGCTGGCTACTCTCTCTGACAGCCCTGCTCAGTTTATGGTGCACATCTGGTGGAGTCCCCTCCAGTGCAATACAGCTCCCCTTTTATGGAAGGATTTGCCTAGTGGAAGAAGGAAAGAGAAGGGGACGCAACGTGACTGAATGTGCTCAGGGCTCCTTGGGTAAAGGGTTACGTGTGTTTATTTTATGAGAAGTGGAGTAAAGGACTATTGGGCAAGCACACACACAAAAAAGCGTTTCATAATCTCAACCAGCCTAAAATTGCTTTTTTTTTTTTTTTTTATGGCCAGCTCCTTTCCTGCATACTTGGGACATCTGTGGAGCAATTGTTCCTCATGGGTGGGATTTCTGTGTCCTCAGAGCTACTGTCATAAGGTCGGCGACAAGCTTTTAGCCAAGGCCTGGCATTACTGGCTCAGGAAGGAGGGGGAGTACCCCAGGAATGCTGAGCACAGGAGCTGCACGGTGGCCTGGGTTTCCCAGGAAGTTCTGCAGGCTCCCAGGGTGGCTGGGCTGCAGGATGGGTGCATGGTCAGCTCTTGGTCCCACCAGTTTCAAGAAGCACTTCCCAGATTTCTGACTCGTGTCGTATTGATATTCCTCAAGAGAACAGATGTACGTGGAAATGCATGACCTCACAGCCAAGGGAAGAGGATTTCCTCTGGGAATAGGACTCCCCTGAGAGATGGGGACAGGACTACTTGTTAATTTGAGCTATTCCCTGGTCTAGGAAGTGGAGGATTTACAAGTGGCCTTTCCTGTCTATCACTCCCTGGCCTGTCAGGGAAACCAGGCTCTATTCTCCTTTTTCAGTGCATGAACTGGGCACCGGGACAAGAGAGAAGGAGATGAATGAACAGCCCTTTCCCACGTCTAATTCCTGTGATTAAGAGCCTAATTGGAGTGGCTAAAGCACTCGGGGGCACATGGGATCTGGAATGCGATGGCTCAACAGTTCTCATGGGCTGGTAGGAGGGCAGAAGGCCCCTGGGGCTGGAAGAGCCTGTGCTGTGCCCGGAGGGGATGGAAAGGAGATCAGAGACTGTCGGGTTCAGCCTTCCCCAGGCGAGCAGGGATCAGAAGATGTGGCAGCCCGCCCTCCTGCCTCTGACAGCTCAGCTGCACACCCCACCTACCGGACCTAGCATATTTGTGTGCGCCACAAACAGACTTTCTGGCATTTTTCTGCGTCTGTGACTCCACTTGTGACCCTGTGAACCTCCCTTTAAGTCAGCCCAAACAGTCTGTTTTCATTCTGCGATGGCCAAGGCACATTAATATTTAAGAGCCGTTGATAAGATGAAAGAGGAGCCATCCTTCTGGATGAATTAACGGGACATTTGCTGCTCTCCCAGGCTCTGGGAACTGCCATTCAGCTGACTGGCACCGAGGACATCTTCTGAATGGGGCTTAGACAACTTGCATATTCAAAAGAAAACAAAGTAAGTTATTTGGGGGGGCAAAAAAGTCTTCCTGTCCTCCAGGATTCCTGCTCTTCCTGGTGGGCTGGCTGGAAATAGCAGAACAATCAGAGAGTTTTCTGCTTTGGGACTACTGGTTCCACTCTGACCCATGGCTTAAGTTGACTGAAGGATGGGAAAAGTCCCACAGATGTATTCCTTGGGAACATCATTCCTTCAGTTCACTGCATTTATGATTCTTGTGCTGAATTCCCACAAAGGCTGGAGTTGTAACTGAGCTTGGCTTGGCGATTGGAGTCGGTTGTGAAAATAACTTTTATGCTGCATATATGACAAATGGGAACTTGCAGGCACATGTGGAGTGGGTTGCTTCACACAAATCATCCCATCCAACCCCAGAGCAGCATGGTGATTATGTGTGAATAACCAAGGCAGCAGGAATTTCAAAGATGAATCAGTGCTGCTCACATGCTAATTCAGGGAGAACCAACAAAGTAATTCAGAAAACAGTTTAGGATAATTAATGCATCTGAGAACTGCTGCAAACCACGAGGACATGTTCTGTGAGCAGTGGCAAACTCTACACATCCCCACAGCTTAGTGCTACAAGAGCAGAGCAAATTAAACCTTATCAGCACCCAGCTGCTTAAATGACCTCTGTGACCATCCTGACCCAATTCCCAGGAGACACATCCCACTCTTAGGGAGCCAGCAGGGGTCAGATGAAGAGTGAAGGGAGGCCAAGAACTCAGGAGACTGGAGACTTAGTCCCCATGCAGTCCCAGGGCTGGCAGAGGGATGTGGAGTTTGTCCCTCAGTGCTCCCAGACTGGAGCAGGGAATCTGTGCCCTGTGGTATGGACAACATGGTCCAACACTGCCTATTCTGCCAGAGCAACATCCCTTTTCTCTTGATTTTCTCCTAGTCACACCTTCTGGATAAGAAAGCGCCTGTCAAGATTGAGGTGCAAGGAAGGCAAGAGATGGAGACAGAAAACTGATGGCAAATGACCCGACAGTTACAGCAACCAAACACAGGAGCTTTCAGCTGGGCAGGGATGTACATCTGTTTTTCAGGAGGGACAAAATCAGCCAGAAGCTGCCACCGAGCGTAAAAGCTTCACTCAGCTCTAACTAGCATGATGCAGTACAGTGCAAACTGCAAAAGGAAAAAAGAAAGGAAAATGTAATGAACTTACAGGGTTCCCATCGATGCCTGGAGGTCCTCGCTCTCCAAAATTACCAGGAAAACCCTGAGAAGAGGAGACAAACATGAATGTTAGTTATTGAGGCTCCCTGGTGTAGAAAGTCAGTTACAAACCACTCCCCTTGCACCCGGTGCAGCACTTTGGAAAGCAGCAGGGACATGTGGGACAAACAGCCTGCCTGTCCTCATCCAGGCCACTCCTGCCACACCAGCACAGCTCCACAAGGCCAGAACCCCTGATTCATAAACCTCACTGCAGTGACTATTAAAAAATGGGCTGTCAATCTGAATTATTTAGTGCTATCTACTAGCAGGATAATTTGAGCAGCACCCCCTCCTCTCAGGATAGCTGGACAGCACAAAGCCTGTTGGAGCCCATGCAGATGCTTAATGGAGCTGATCGGAGATGCCTGGTGAATTCACTCCCTTTCAGCTTGCCAGAGGAGCAAATGCTTCCAAACTCATTACAGTCCACACCCCAGAGCTGTGAAAGGCCATGTTTACTACATGAAAAAGTCACCACAAAAGAAGACTTCATCTCATTATATGCGATGCAAGTTTGGAAGACTTCAGACAATTATAGAGAAGGGAGTGGAGGTACTGAGCCAGAGCCAGAACATGGTGGTGTGACACGTTCTCTCTCACTCTTGGACAGATCCTGTGCTCCTCTAAGCCCTCCCCATCCAATTCCCTGCTACGACCAAATCCCAAAGCAGCTTCCTCTTCCCTGTCCTGCCATGCTCTGTCTCCCACAGAACTGGGAGTCAAAGTGCTTTATCCCCTTCTCTGGCTCACCAGAAATACAAAGGACATGTTCTGGAATACCTGAGAGCTCAAGAGACAGGGATGAAGCAGGCAGAGAGAGGATTCTCTCCTGTCCTGCCTCCTTCCCTGTGTACTACAAACACTGGTTATCTGGGAAAAGCAAATCTGAGGGAAGTGGAATGCAACAGCCAATGTCTTATCTGGAAACCCATCAGCAACAATGAAAACTGAAATGATCGCAGGAGACAGAACAGAACTGCACTGGGAAACTGTCATCCAAGACCTCCCTTGACCTTTGAGGGTTTAACTCCTGGTGAACAGAAAAGGTGAAAAGTTACATGGTAAAATTTAAGGTGAGAGATGGGAGGCCTGGCTTAAGCCAACAAAAATTCTTCCGCTGCCCTCAGAGCCAGCATTTCAGCTCTTCTGTACCAATTCCCTACAGCATGAAGGGCTGAACCCACATGAGCTACTGCTTGCTCAGATTCAACACTTCTGTTTTGTGGGAATCACTGCGAATAGGAAAGTTGTCTGCCCTTCTCCAGCTAGGCACTACATCCCTGAGGCCTGTGCACATGCCAAGAAGCTGTGGTAAGCAACCACTGGAAACAGCCTTCTGCCATCTAGAGACAAAGATGTCAAATATAACAAGAAGGCAGGGGGGGCTACAATTTTCTTTAATGAAAAAGAAGGGGAAAAATAACTCTGCTACATGCTGAATCAATCAGATCAGAACAGAGATGTGCAGGGAAAAATCATTGCTCAGGCAAGACAGAAAAATAAAAGGAGATTGCCAGAATATTTTGCTGTTTACAGTCATGTGGCTTGCCAAGGAAAATATGAGTGTGCATAGACTGATACTGTACTTACGCTGCTGCAGATTTCAGTCACAGCCTTCAGCATTCCCCAGCTGCATCCTTCCTTCCTCAGAGCTGGGCATGGAGTGACCCATGGATGCCACAGAGCAGCAGTCTGGCCCTGTGGCTGCTGGGGTATCTGCTATGGAGCTGAGCTTTTTGCCAACATGGGGAGATTTTACTACTTTGAATGGTACAACAAAAACAATATTGCTACAGCAGCATCATAGCAGCCAGGGGAATGCTTGCTCCAGACTAAAACACCATTGTCTGAATTTGGTTTAAAACTCTTGCAATGTGACATAAACAATGTGCTCCTGTGCCAGAATAAAAGAAGCCAGATAAGGAACTGTTTAAATGCATATGTTTCACACGTGTTTCACTCTTTTCTTTATACCTCAGTTTCCAGCATTAACCATGCTGCTTAAAGACAGGAAATTTGAGGCACTTGGTGATAGAGTTAATAGAGGTCTAACTTTTACACAGGTTTTCCAGCACTAGATCTCCAAATATCCAAATAGCTTGAAAACCAGATTTATTCCTGTGCTTGGCCAACACCACCCAGCAACCAAGAGATTCATCATTAAAACCTGTTCACAGCAGGCTGTGACTGCACACAGAGGTCAGGGTTCTTCCAGCCCTCAAGATGGGGTGGAAAAGGGTCAAAGTGGGAGGAAGCTGAGAAGAAAAGCAGAACAGGCCCAGGAAAACACTCAGCACCAAAGCTCCATCTTTGCAAACACCTTTTTTGTCCTTAACACACCATCTGCACTGCACAAGCATCCCCCAGCTCACCCCTTGCTGGGGTGCTGGGTGGTCCCCTGGTGCTTTTTGGCCCAAGCTGTAAAACAAACCCAGAGGAGACTAATGGAAAGATTCAATTCAACTAACCCCAGGCATCCTAGTCCAGAAGTCAAGCTTAGCACACAAGCACAGGTTTGGCACATTAAGTGAGGCTAAGGCTGGTGGCTGTGGCGAAGGAGAAGGATATTTCAGCATCCATACAGTCGGCAAAGACCCAAACCAGGTTGTGAAAGCTGTCCCAGCACAGCTCTTGCACAGCAGGAAACAATCAATCTTTTAAGCCCCTAATGAAAAAGAAAGTACTTTGTTTCCATGGGGTAAGCAATAGCAGTTTAAACCACAATAACAGTTCCAGTGACCACAGTGTCCTAATTTATGGGATCTCACACGTCTGTTAAAGATGTTCTTTTGGTGCCTCTCCTGCTTGAGCCTCAAGGAGAGAGATGTTCCCCAGGAACAGAACTAGCACTATTCAACTAAAACAACCGGCCCAGAAGTTACAAGCAGACTTTGTTATCCTGCTGGTTTCATTCCCCTAAGCAGTGACACCTCTGCTCTCCCATGCACTGCTCCAAGAGCCTGAGGAGCCCAGACTGGGGGAGAACTCATGGAGCAGGAAGCTCATTTTATGGTGCTGGCAGATGGGCAGGTCACAACTGGCAGCCCATTACAGGAGACTTTTGAAAGAGATTAAAGAATCCAGCAGAATGGGAGTCTCCTGTGAGTGCAGAAGGGGTTTTGGTACAGAAAATCCATCATTTTTCAGGGTGTTTTTTTTCAAACCAGTCCCTGGAAATTATGCTTAAGAATTGGGACAGAAAAGGAAAACACCTCAGTGAAAAACACAGAGCCATGCATCCTGCCCGCTCTGTGGGAGGGACGGGATGTACAGAGAAAGACCAGGACAGGGAAGGCAAATGGCAGCAGAACTAGGAAGAAAATGTTTGACTAACAAGTTGTGTTGGCCAAGAGCCGGCGGGGTGCTCCTCCGCAGTGCTCCGGTCAGCTATGACAAAACTTTTGGCTCTATCTCACAGCTGGGAAATTCAGAGAGGAGGTGGGGGAAAATGTCCAGCTGAATGGATTTCACATTGTCTGAAGGAGAAGTTCAGTGAAAGAAGCAAGATGATGCTTGGGGAGGAGCTGGAGAGAGAGCACACAGGCAGATGCTTTGCGCTAGCGAGGTCTGGGTGCTCTGTGCTCCCCTGTCCCCAGCCCAAGCAGAGCTTTTCAGGGGTTGCACAATTTGTCCTCGCCGCACTCGGTGAGCTGAGACACAGACAGACACAAACTGATTTATCCCAGGTTACACTGACAAGTAACAAAGTCTCTATCTTTGAGATGTTCCAATAGCGCCTTAATTCCTTTTCATCCCCACTCCCTGCAAAGGGCATCCTTTCATACACCAGGAGACTCCTGCTGAGAACAACCAGACCCAGACAGACACTGGAACCAGCTCCTCCTGCACCAGGGGATTACATCCCCCTCCAGCTCCCCTTCCTTTCTTCCTCAGCTGAAAGCAAACAGAGCAGCCTGCCCTTTCTGCTGGCTGTTGTCAGCCAAAGCTCCTGCTCGGAGCAGACGCCACTGCTCCTTGTCCCTGGAAGCAGCTGTCCCCAGGAGGCAGGGACAGGTGACACACACGGTGTCCTTTGCTGCCCGAAGTCCTTCCAGGTGCTCACGTGTGGGTGGGTGTGTTGTGTGGATACAGCATCTGATTCCGTTTAAAGCGCTTTCCCTGCAGGAGTAAGGGAGGCAGTCTGGCAGCTGCTGCTCTGAAGAATCCTGGCAGGTCTTCATGCCAACAGAATCGTTCTCCAAAAATAGGATTTTATTTTCCTGTTGGCTGAAGGTGCTCAAACCAACCAGCCCTCCTGTCTTGTCTGCAAAAGACTCTATTTGCCAGTTGGCTCCAGCCAGGTGAATCCCTGCCCAGGAGCCTCCCTAGGGATGGAACTTGCAAGTCAAACAATTTAAGTAAGGAAAAAGAAAAAAAAAAAAAAATAAGAAAAAGGTGGTGGAGAAGCAGGGCTGAGGGTGAGAGAAAGCCTTCATTGGAAAAAAAATAAGGAGAAAAAAACCAAACAAGTGTAGCTTATGTTGGCAGCTCACACCTCTGAGAGAATTCCTGGTGTGGAGAGCAGACTGAGCCCCTTTACAGGTGGGCAGGGGGTGGCTCAGCCCCAGCAGGAGTCACCCCAAAGGGAGCCCTGCAGAGCCTGTGCTCCTGCTGTGCCTCCCCCCAGCTGTCACCCAAGAGCTGCACAGGGACCTCTCCCTTCCCCTGGCTCTAGGCAGTTTTCATCCCTGCAAAAGATGCTGGGCATGGAGTGGGGGTCCTGCTGCAGCCCTGCTCCTCTGCCACCTGACAGGAAGCTTTCCTCTCTCCCCCAGGAAACTTCACAGCTCCGTGTCACCCCTTGGGACAGATATTTCAGGGCATTTTTAAGTATAACTATCCCTCCAGCTGTGGGAGTACAGCAGGAGCAACACAAGAAAAAATTCCTGAACCCCTCCAGGCAAACATCACTCAGGTGAAGTGCCAGCCCCTCCACAATCCTGCTCTATTCCTTTTCCAGTGGTAGAGGATCTTTTCCTGGTCTGCAGGGCTCTAACCCAG